ACTTCTCTTATTGCATAGTTTCATACATGATTGGCCTAACAATTATAGTCAGAAATGGCCAGTCACAGATCGGAGGCATGACTACATCCACTGGGCTTAAAACTTTACATCAGTCTTTCATTTCATGGTTGAGGTAAAAAACAAGCGTTGTATACTGTATCCTCATACTGTTTGTTAGTTGGGATTCTATAATACATTTTGCACCTTAGGTAGACTAAAATCTATTCTCTGAAATGAACATATTTTTCAGAAAAATAACAGTTGTTAAATTATACTTATAAAATATAATATAAAGGAGCCCAGAGACTTTCTTCATTACTGTGTAATCTAGACTTGCCAAATATTATAGACTTGCATTGGCTGTGTTGGATATATTTGTTTCAGGGTCTGTATGACAGACAACACCTCAGGTTTTGATCTGATGTAAAGGGGGAGTAGACTCGAGAGGACTGTCTCAGTGTAGGTTGAGACATCCTTTTGAGGGCCATGTGTGATCCTGTCTCGGAGTTATCACTAACTGGTAGGTAGGTACAGTGGAATCTGTCTAAACCGACTACTGTGGGATGAAAAGTGTTTGGTTTGGAAAGAGGTTAATCCAGATGATTAATGATATATCATGAGATACAGAAACAGAGATATGGACGTTTGAAAGACATTTTTTTTTTCATGGTATTAAATTTTGGATCGCAACTGTGGATCAGTGTGGATTAGCCTGCAATCTCAACATAATCTGCTCTTTTACTCCGATATGATCTTTATCTGCGTATTAATCCGACGACACCTCAATTGCAATCTCATTAAAACCATATCCTAGTTCTTGCAACTGCTAAACAAAGATCTGAGGACATCCTATTACAGGTCACATTAGAACAAACTTTCATGAACTTTGACTGACCAATGACATGACAAAGAAGTTGATATTAGCCAATCAGAAAGCAACTTTCTCAACCTTAAGTCGCTTGTTTCAAACTGGCAACTTCCATTCCAGACTATGCTTTGAAAAATATTGATTCAAAATTTGTAAACTTAATAAGAGAAAATTCTGGAATGTCTAATAGATGGCCGACAGTGATTAGCAGTTCTTCCCATGGGTTGTGGAAAGTCTCTTCTGTTTCAAATGTTTATCCCACTGAAGCGAGAGACAGACGTACAGTCTGTAACTATCACTTAGAACTCCCCATATGAACATTTTCGAGGTTGCATGATTAGAAAACACATTCTGACTGTCACTTTACCGATCTGGCAAGCGATGCTCTGATTGGTCGGATGAAAGGTCGTTCTGGCATGACTCATAATGCAATGTCCTGCGATCTTTGTAAAGCAGTAAATCTGATTTTATGAGATTGCCTCCATTGGGAGAACACTGAGCTAACTTTGATTATCCAATCTAAATGTAGAATGTGTGGGTTGAGGAGCAATTCAGCTGTCAGCTTTCTAAAACAATTTGTCTTCATTTCTTTACCTTAAGTCGGAGATTTTGAATTGTACAAAAAACAAAACAACCAGTATTCTTTCAACAGGAGATGCCATGGCGTTCAGAAGCAACAATACAACGGTGCAGCCTAATCATCTACATTTGAAAAGTCGTTTTAATTCATTTTCGAGATACAGAAATCAAATATGTTTCAGTAAAAGATCTTCTTGTATTGAGACTGGGGTCCAGTTTTGACAGATTCCACGGTATATGTAAGATAAACTGAGTTTGCAGACTAGGTTCCGGTTTTGACAGATTCCGCGGTATATGGAAGATAAACTGAGTTTGCAGACAAAGTTCGTTTGAATGTCTGGAATCAAATATGCCTGAGATAGGCCTGACTTCAATACTGGAATAATGAATGGTCATGTTGAACACACAGAGACCTGCTAAGTGAATGTAGGACTTCATCCTTCACAGGACATGAACTATTGAGCAATGTCGGGATCTGATAGACTATACACAGGTACACAGATGGGCAGACATATACATGTACATACTTCAAGCAATTCAGAGGCCACTACACTCATAACATGGCACAACATTAACATGTTGATGTCCAGCACTCTTCCTCTGTGATTCTTTCATATTTAGAGTGTGTTCTGACATAAGAGATGTGATGACCAGGGCCCACTTGCACAAAGGGATCTTAGCGCTAAGATAATCGTAACTACCATACTTTAACATAGGCTTACAATCGTCGTAGCACTAAGATCGCTTTGTGCAAGTGGGCCCATGTCTGTTGTGTGCTTAGACTGCCATTGCATGTTTTACTAGCATGCAGGATTCAGACTTACACTATTTTTAAAAATGAGGATTTTCCTTAGAATGGGTCACATATTCCTCCATTCACAACACACTACGATGGGGAAGCCCATGTGTAACATATCAGTTCCATGTGTATGGCTCTAGTGAGGAGAAACGAAATAATAAATTCCTAGTCTATAAACACAAAATAAACTTGCAGGGAAAAATGAAAAGCCCTTAGCAAAATGACATTCCTGTATTAGAGATTTGATTGTATAAATGTGTTGCCACATGTCGGTGCAGATCTGCCTTGTTGCCATCAGCTGGTGTCGTACTACAGGACCATCAGACATTGCATGAACAAGATGACAGTGTTTCCCAAACTATATAAAGGATCAAAGACCAATCTCTACAAAGTCAGACCAACCATTCACCTAGTGGAGTAACAAACAATCATAATGCCTTTAGTAAACTTTAGTGAACCATACAAATATGTCTGTCATCTGCATAGGAGACAACGATGGTTAGATATCATGTTTATCTACATTTATTATCAACATGGATGAACTCTGTACATGATCTCAAACTACTTCACTACAGGTTGTGATTACCCAAGTCACAGAACACATCCTGGTTATCAGGAAACTACAATGTTCTGAGGCTGACGTGTCAGGAGAAGCACTTCACTACAGGTTGTGATTACCGAAGTCACAGAACACATCCTGGTTATCAGGAAACTACAGTGTTCTGAGGCTGACGTGTCAGGAGAAGCACTTCAAGCCAGCACCGGACACACAGGGAGACGGCTTGATGACAACAAGGGCAGATGCAACGTCCAAGTACTTATGCACCGACACAGCAATAGCAGAATAAGACTAGATGTTTAAATTATCAGAGACATACACAGTAACATTCACGTAATCATTATTCATTTAAGTAATCATTTGACACTTAAAGGCATACATACACAATCAAAACCTCTGAAATGCCAGCACCATTTAATTATACGGTCGACTCTCGTCAAAGCCAGAGAATTAGATACTATTGTAGATCCTGGGGAGGCTTTCTGTATCTTTCATCAATTTGATTCCTGGTATTGTGACACATGTAAGTAGAAATTAGGGATTCAAGTCAAACACACACACACACACACACACACACACACACACACACACACACACACACACACACACACACACACACAGTCACATGCATGATAGTGCTTGCTAATCGAATCAGAGGAGTATCAAGTTTATGTTGATCAAGTTGTGTGTATGTGTGCAATAATATACCATGTTGTTTGTCATGAAACAGCTGCAGTAAGTAGTAATTTGGGGCTCGGTCCCTTGGAATGCCAGTTAACGAGAGTCGACAGTAGAAGGGCCCTGGTGAGTTCTGTACAATTACCAGAATGAATTGTCTGTCAGACAGTGTGATTGTGTGGTAGACACTGCATGGGTATGGTGCTGACAAACCTAGAAACATAATTGGGGTGAATCAGGATTCGAACCCACAATCATAGGTTTCTGGCGTGCCCAAGGGACGCAACTCTGCACAGCGAACCGCGGCGCCTGAGACAACTGGTCACCCGTGCCCCCATTTATTGAATGAAATAGTGCATGTATTGTATAGTTGCTTCTCATGAATCACGGCATTATGTGCTTGGTGCTCACAGTGCCATCTCCTTCACCAGGACCCTTCAGGAGAAGTAGGGGTATCTAACTTCTGCAAACATCTACATCCTCTCATAACATCCACCATAAAAACTCATGCTATATGTAGAAAGTATATACCCGGATACCTGATTGCTTACATCTTATGAACACCTCAGAATTCATTCAACTTTGAGAATTCTGGAATGCAAATACAGACACTTCATAGTCAGTTCAGACATGACCAATGTTATCTTCAATGACACACATCTGCAACACACAAATCCCTCAGACAATGTTGTAAAAATATGGAAGAAAAATATCCCGCCCATGAAAATATTTGTTCAAATCAGGTGTGAACTTATCATGTGAGACGTAACCCTACACCAAGCTCACGGTTATTTCTTAGACACCACAATTAAAGGGAGACAATCACCACAGACTTATCAATGCCAATGGGCAGCTGAGAAACAAGCCAACATGTTATTTACACCTCGTTTGTTCACGTCCCTGACACAAACAGCCTGAACTACTGCTGCCCCTGCCACACCCGGACCAGGGCATTTATACTTCCTATAGAGTGGCTCGTCCCGGCCAGTGATGCACGAGATGGGTTGAATGACGGTCCATTACATAGAAGACAATAAGATAATCAGATATAAGGCTAAAAAAAATGGTTCTCAGGCACCGCCCGCATCATTATAAAGTCTGCCACACGTTTCGTTTTTATTTACATTTTCCAAAACGGCAAAAGAATATAAAAATCCAATACTTAAAAACATTGAGATCCAATATAGCACACAGTTACTTCCCTTTACATGCACACTGCTTTACTGTACATCTCGTGTTATGGTCCTGGCGGCAATAGGAGTTTGTATGCTTGTTAATGTAGGGAGGCCCTTTCCCAGGTTGATGGCAGGTTGATACTAGTTTGAACAAGCCACAAAAAAAGAAGAAACACCGCCCACCCGCACTATATTTTCAAAAGTTATTGCCTGAGAACCAATTCTTTTATTTTTTAAGCCTAAGCAGCGTTTTTCTATGCAACCCCAGCAATTTGACTCAGTGCATAATGTTGACCAACTGTTGGCCAGGGCTGAATGATGGTCCATTACAATGAATACAAATTAGATATAAATATTTATTCATCAAACCATAGTATTTTGTCTGTGGATGTAATAAATTTTGTGAAATGTATGGCAGGTTAATCCACAAAACAAGAAAAAGAAAAAAAGAAAAGTTCTGGCCTTAAAAACACTAAAGACGCTTTATATTTTTATCTGATTTTAAGAAATGTGTTTGAAATTTAATGTCCTAGATGAAAGTACAAGGTCCAGTTTGACATGTAACCCAAAGTAGCTACTGGACCCTGCATACAGCCAGGCTGAACTACGTGACCTAATCATAGTTCTGTTTTACTTTTTCCTGCTGAGAATTTCCCATCCTCCACTGCCTCGATCACATTTTGCATGGATGCCACAACTGAAACACAAAACAAGACTGATGAGAAGGGGGAAAGACAATGATGTAGTTGGTTGTTGGTTGGTTTGTTGTTTAACGCCGTACTCAGCAATATTCCAGCTATATGACGGCGGTCTGTAAATAATTGAGTCTGGACCAGACAATCCAGTGATTGACATCACGAGCGTCATCCACGCAATTGGGATACAATAACATTCATCAACCAATTCTACCCTGGAATCTTCACGGGTCAGACAATGTTGTAACATACACGAACTACAGACCAGCTTCAGCTTCAGCTGCTGGTCAGACAGATGTTAAAGAATGTCATCATCTTCATTAATAGTGTTATTAGTTAATAGTGCTGGGACAATACACTGATCGGTGGATCGCGATATTTTACTTCATGATACAAGTATTGATCACAGTCACACACTAAGTAAAAAGTATTGATTCATAGATTAAATGTTTACTTTAATGGCTGTTACACCAAACACTAATTTGTAGTGAAAATTAGGAGAGAAAAAATAAATATTTTCATCCATATTTGACACTGCTAACTGTAAAATGTAAGTGTGCCAGGTATATACTATTCTATCAATGACAAAGATGGGTAACGCACCACAGATAAGAGCACATACAAGTATCGCGATACTTATCGGATCATGAACAACGTATCGTGATACGAATCGGATCATGAACAACGTATCATGATACTTATTGGATCATGAACAAGGTATCGTGATACGAATCGGATCGCAAAATTAGTGTATTGTCCCCGTCGTAGCAGTTATGTCCTACTAATGTCTGGTTTGTTCAGATTCACGGTGGCCTGTAAATAATCAAATCTGAACCAGACAATCCAGTGATTGATATTGTGAACAATGATCCACACTGTCGGGGGACGATGACACGCTCTCATCACATCTGACCAGCTGGTCCATTTGGCAGGAGATTTAATACAACCAGCAGGGGTTGCTGGTGATCACTTCTGACCCTTGACCCACAGTCACACCTACTTATGTACATGCTGAGTCCAGTGTTCACCTGACAGGTTCTTTGGCTGAGTGAGTGAGTGAGTGAGTGAGTGAGTGAGTGAGTGAGTGAGTGAGTGAGTGAGTGAGTGAGTGAGTGAGTGAGTGAGTGAGTGAGTGAGTGAGTGAGTGAGTGAGTGAGTGAGTGAGTGAGTGAGTGAGTGAGTGAGTGAGTGAGTGAGTGAGTGAGTGAGTGAGTGAGTGAGTGAGTGAGTGAGTGAGTATGATTTAAGCCACTTTAAGCAATATCTAAGCCTTTTCACAGCAAGAGGCTTTTGGTGTGATGCTCTAACCAGTAGTCCACCACATCAGTAACAGGATCGCGCTGAATGCCTTGCCCCATTATGTTGCTCTGGCTTATACTGAATACACTCCATGGAGGCCATGCTGACCAAATGAATGAATCTTGGAAAGGTTGCATGACAGATATGGCACCAGCATCCTGTGTGTTGGTATGAAACCATAGCACTGACTTATTGTGAACAGTTCCCACTGACTTACTGCCTTCTGTATCAGGATAGTAGTATTTGTAGCGGTCATTCCCAGCTTCATTGATGAACTCCTTCCGGACTTTCCCTTCAGGGTCTGAACAGATGAAACCATGTCACACATTAAACACACATTAAACTCACATTAAACACACATTAAACACACATCAAACACACATCAGGCTACTTGTGTAACAACATCTTATAACCATGTCGTATTTTCATCATTTTTATTCAAAACACCACTGACACTGACGCCACTGTGATGAAAGGGGAATAACTCTTGCTTATTCCCTACACATGGAAAAACATGACACTTCAACAATCATTGATTATCTTCTGTTAGAATTAGTGATGTTATTGGGTTTCACATACCTAGCAGGAAACTATAGGCTGATGGGATGGTTGGAAACTGTAGGTGGATGGGTTGGTGGGAAACTATAGGCTGATGGGTTGGTGGGAAACTATAGGCTGATGGGTTGGTGGGAAACTGTAGGTTGATGGGTTGGTGGGAAACTGTAGGTGGATGGGTTGGTGGGAAACTGTAGGCTGATGGGTTGGTGGGAAACTGTAGGTGGATGGGTTGGTGGGAAACTGTAGGCTGATGGGTTGGTGGGAAACTGTAGGTGGATGGGTTGGTTGGAAATGGTAGGTGGATGGGTTGGTTGGAAATGGTAGGTGGATGGGTTGGTGGGAAACTAGGCTGATGGGTTGGTGGGAAACTGTAGGTAGATGGGTTGGTGGGAAACTGTAGGCTGATGGGTTGGTGGGAAACTGTAGGCTGATGGGTTGGTGGGAAACTGTAGGCCGATGGGTTGGTGGGAAACTGTAGGTGGATGGGTTGGTGGGAAACTGTGGGTGGATGGGTTGGTGGGAAACTGTAGGCTGATGGGTTGGTGGGAAACTGTAGGCTGATGGGTTGGTGGGAAACTGTAGGTGGATGGGTTGGTGGGAAACTGTAGGTGGATGGGTTGGTGGGAAACTGTAGGCTGATGGGTTGGTGGGAAACTGTAGGCTGATGGGTTGGTGGGAATCTATAGGCTGATGGGTGGGTGGGAAACTGTAGGCTGATGGGTTGGTGGGAAACTGTAGGCTGATGGGTTGGTGGGAAACTGTAGGTGGATGGGTTGGTGGGAAACTGTAGGCTGATGGGTTGGTGGGAAACTGTAGGTGGATGGGTTTCTTGGCCCATCAAAACAGTGGTCAATAGCATGAACAACAATCAGGAACAATCTAGGTTACACATTCTAGTAAGCGCAGACTGTTTGGGTGCACAGAAGACGCTCCTACCTAAGAAAAGGATCCTTGGTATATATCCACCATCTGGACTGTACTGCTTGTCTGAAGGTTCTTCTTCATTCTAAACACATCAGAATTGTCTACTATCAACACATCTGTGTATTTCTACAAAGTCACATATACGCTCATTATGACATGGGTGCATGTCAATCGTAGCATCAGTACCATCACATGACAATGTATCAATTGGGCCAGAGTTTATAGAAATACATAACCAAGATCATGTTATACTAAAACATGGAAAATGCATATTCAGTATTTGGTAAAATGGCCACTAAAATCAAATTAAGTTGCTCGGAGTATTTAGGCATGAGATAATCAAACATAACAATCTTGTTGAACAGGCATGAATCTTGGAGAAGGATTTGAGCACAAACACACATCTTTTCTGATGTCGAGTTAAAGTTGATTATGTGTTGAATTGTTTGATAGGCTTCACTAAGAAGCTGACGGATGATAAAGTAGACACAATTCATGGATAACAACTTCTTTAATTACTGTAAAGGTAATGTTTTGGTAAGATCCTTATACCGTTGTCAAGCAAGACTGGATTTTGTGTTGTCAGTGTGTTACATTAAGATAAGCTGGAGCCTTTTCTTAATACAACCCAATGACAAGTTAATCAATAAACATTAACATATTCACAAAATGAGCTAAATAGTTTTACTATATATATATACTGACTCACCTCTGTGTTCACCATAATAAACTGTTTACTGAGTGAAATAATTCCTTTTGTTTCTGCAAACTTAGGTTTTAAGGCTGAAAGTAAAAAAAAAATCTTATATCATTTTGATATCAATATGACTTAGAACTGGGTAATGTTTCTTCCAAAGAAGTTCCAACTATGTATCTTATTGAATATACAGAATAATAGGGCGAAAGCTAACATTCACTAAGTCAATTTTCAAAGTAGCAGAGATGAACAGGTTGCACTCATAACATCATGACAGAGTACTTTTTTAAACATTTAATGCTCTTGGAACTTTGACAAATATTCTGTATAAAGAATAAAGTCTCTTGAAATAAATATTTTATTTTTATCTGCCATCGGTAAGCTAAATGCAGATACAGCTAAGAACAGTTCTAAACAAAAGTGAACCTGTGAAGATCCGGGGTAGAATAGGTCTTCAGCAACCCATGCTTGCCGTAAGAGCAACTATGCTTGTCGTAAGATTCGACTAACGGGATCGGGTGGTCAGGCTTGCTGACTTTCTTGATGCACGTCATCATCTTTTGAAGTGAGTTAACTCCCTTGCCTCGGGAGGATGACATTTACATTATTGTATTGAATTCAGTGTTAAAATACCTCTCACTTGATAACAAGCAAATAACTTAACAATGTCAAAAAGGACTTTCAAAACAATTTTATTTTTGAAAAAAGTAATGTTGTATTAGTGAAAACTGTACTGGATTTTGTTACTTGTGACTCAAACAATGATGCAATTTATGTTACTAGCTTATCCAATGAGCATTGTCAACTAAAATAAAGTACTAATTACAGTAATATTTATGTATTTCGGTTCATTGTCGACTTTAGGAGGAATTATTGGGTACAATTATTAGCAGACGTGTTTTCCAAGATCAGCTGTTATTTATTTTTGTGTCTACAGATGTGTAGCAATAGAATTTAGTTGCCACAAGATATTTTTCAAGGTAGTCATTTGTCTACCTCTGAATTTTAGACAGTAGAAAAACTTAAATTTAGGTTGCATTGGTGACCGTTTTAGTGGCACCTATGTGGCCTGAATATGTTCCTACCTTTGCAAGCACCACACCAAGACTTGTGAATAAGAAGCATCAGTGGTTTGTTCCTGAAATGTAATCATAAAAACTTCAAGACAATGTTCTGAAGGAACTACACTTTCTCTTCTTAGGGTCATACGTCATATTGGGACATGACTTATGTCTGTTCTAAACTATTGTATTTTCTATGCTTTATCTGGTGTACTTAGTTGTTTCTCATCTGATTTCTTTGTAAACAAAATGCTGAATTTGTATCATACCAGCTGTTTCCAGTGTGAAATTGCATTTGGCAATATTCCAGCCATGTCAGAGAGACACCAGAAATGGCTATCACATATCCATGTGGGGAATCAATCTTGGATCTTCAGCATGACAAGCGACTGTTGTACATTTAACAACTAGCTCTGACCCGTTTCCAAGACGTAAGATTACCATGTGGCCACAATGTGCTTGTGTGGGAGAAAGATGAGACATAACAGCAACAGATTCATTATCTGTGTATAGGATGCAGGAAATACAACATGTACAATCAGTAGTTTATTCCTGAGAGATCATCAACATGATCAAGTAGCGGATTTCACATAACTTGGAATAACCAGATTACTGGCTGTCAGTATTAATTGTCATGGTAACATATTGTTATGGAGGTAAAGAAAGCAGTATATTTAATAAATTCAAAACTTCAATGACAGGAAATAATCAGTCTGCTGAAACAGATTCCATTGGGTGTAAAAGGCAAAAAGCAATGAAAATAATATGAATGGATCGCTGAAAATTAGTGAAGACACCAGGTGTTCGTGAAAATCAAAGGATGTCCTGTTCCTTCCACTGGTGTAGCACCCACTGATCTCAGAGATGAAAATCATGCCACTCTAGTCAGTACCAGGAATATCATCTTAATAAAATACTTACTCTGCCTTAGATTTTGCCAATCCATCTTCTAGACTGACCCACTCAATGTTATCACCCCATCCTATAAAGAAAGGAATAGAGTCATTGACAAGCTTAACTATGTTGACTGACCCACTTAATGTCATCACCCCATCCTATAAAGAAAGGAATAGAGTCATTGACAAACTTAACCATGTTGACTGACCCACTCAATGTCATCACCCCATCCTATAAAGAAAGGAATAGAGTCATTGACACTCTTAACTATGTTGACTGACCCACTTAATGTCATCACCCCATCCTATAAAGAAAGGAATAGAGTCATTGACAAACTTAACCATGTTGACTGACCCACTTAATGTCATCACCCCATCCTATAAAGAAAGGAATAGTCATTGACAAACTTAACCATGTTGACTGACCCACTTAATGTCATCACCCCATCCTGTAAAGAAAGGAATAGAGTCATTGACAAGCTTAACTATGTTGACTGACCCACTTAATGTCATCACCCCATCCTATAAAGAAAGGAATAGAGTCATTGACAAGCTTAACTATGTTGACTGACCCACTTAATGTCATCACCCCATCCTATAAAGAAAGGAATAGAGTCATTGACAAACTTAACCATGTTGACTGACCCACTCAATGTCATCACCCCATCCTATTAAGAAAGGAATAGTCATTGACAAGCTTAACTATGTTGACTGACCCACTCAATGTCATCACCCCATCCTATAAAGAAAGGAATAGAGTCATTGACAAGCTTAACTATGTTGACTGACCCACTCAATGTCATCACCCCATCCTATAAAGAAAGGAATAGAGTCATTGACAAGCTTAACTATGTTGACTGACCCACTCAATGTCATCACCCCATCCTATAAAGAAAGGAATAGAGTCATTGACAAACGTAACCATGTTGACTGACCCACTTAATGTCATCAACCCATCCTATAAAGAAAGGAATAGTCATTGACAAGCTTAACCATGTTGACTGACCCACTTAATGTCATCACCCCATCCTATAAAGAAAGGAATAGAGTCATTGACAAACTTAACCATGTTGACTGACCAACTCAATGTCATCACCCCATCCTATAAAGAAAGGAATAGAGTCATTGACAAGCTTAACTATGTTGACTGACCCACTCAATGTCATCAACCCATCCTATAAAGAAAGGAATAGAGTCATTGACAAGCTGAACCATGTTGACTGACCCACTCAATGTCATCACCCCATCCTATAAAGAAAGGAATAGAGTCATTGACAAACTTAACCATGTTGACTGACCCACTCAATGTCATCACCCCATCCTGTAAAGAAAGGAATAGAGTCATTGACAAGCTTGACCATGTTGACTGACCCACTTAATGTCATCACCCCATCCTATAAAGAAAGGAATAGAGTCATTGACAAGCTTGACCATGTTGACTGACCCACTTAATGTCATCACCCCATCCTATATAGAAAAGAATAGAGTCATTGACATTATTTATTCCAAATTTAAAAATTCCAAAAATTCAATATAAGCAACCCCTAAAAGCCCCCTCTTGGGTTGCACACACCACTTTCACCCTTTTTGCAATTCACTAAATGGCCCGGCCAGGCCCGTGTGAGAAATACGCTACAGTCGGAAAGCGCACGTTAAATCTCCTATATCAGTCAGTCAGCCATTGACAAACTTAACCATGTTGACAGCACACCATCATCCTCAGGGTGACTAGCAAAGACGTTTTCTACTGCAATAGTACTGACAATAGGATTCATTTTAGATATTTTTATCTGCAAAAGCGACGTTACCAAAGCCATGTAAACAACAGATACGTTAAACCCTTGTGTTTGTCCTTATTCAATATAAAAGTTCATTCAAACAGTGGTATCTCACTGTACTGTTCATTTTCCTGTCATCATAATTACATACCTGAACATGCTGTAAAGAAGTAACGTATCTGTTGGTTTCATATTTGGTAGAACAAAATCTTTACAGAAACATTTTGTATAAATATTAACACCAAAACCATCATCACTTATTTCAATTCTGTGGTCCTAGTGGTGTATACAATCAATATATTCATGCAACATGTCTGTCCAAGCGTTAATAACTTGCAGAGCTGACATTCAGTGGTAACATATCTGTTACTTATCTTGCATACCCTTTCATAATTTGAATGTCAAAAGTACCGTGCCAATATCACAGTCAAATTTATGTTAATTTGTATTTGTACATATACTACATATACTATGGTTCAACAGCTTTAAAATACAGAATTTGTATTTCACATTCAGTAATATGCATTTTTTTACTGCAGAGAAAGGGTAATGTATCTGTTATGCAATATGGCGACAGTATATTTAAGTGTAACTTCTTAAAATTGTTTCCTACAAAGCAATAGATTTGTTATTTATAAATCACATGAGCGTCAATTCATGAGCACCCCGCATTCTAATGGCGTTCAATACGTTCTTCAACAATATGCCCTGGGCAAAACGTGAAAACAATATAGTCCTGCTTATGACCACCGCCTCTAGTTGGGCCATCATGAGTCACCCTCTCAGTGTGAAATAGGGTTATACTGATAATGTTGTTGTCCTAAATATTGATCTAAAAACCTCAGTAACTGTCTTGTTACACAACCGACATGACGCAAGCAATATCTCAGACTACTGGTCTATGTGATGGTGGTCACACCTCTGCTTCTACATGATATCTCTGTGTATCCACTACTTCTGGCATCATGATTTTACATTGCATTCTTGTCAAACCTGTTGTCGAGTTCAAGAACCACCATCAAGGCCATGAATGTAAGTGGTATCACATGAAAAATGTGAAAAAATACCTATCGAAAGAAAGAAAATATACAAGTATTTAAATTTACAATAGCGAGTACTGTTTCAGCTATATCTCGCACACAACATACATATACTACAATATAATCATGCTAGGTAATTTATATCAATGTAAGATGCAAATTTATAATACTACAGTTATCTATAAATGATATATGTGTATATGTGTGTCTTGATATACCTGACATACATGTATGACCAACACTATAATGAGTCTACTTTGGCCACACCCAATCTTTGAAATTTGCAAACCCATTGGGCGAGTTGATCCTCTTCATTTTTTTGATATTCCATTGGCACTTTTAGTTTTATTTTATCACAGAGTCTAGCTTGAGGAATAACATAAGATACAGGCGCTTTTCCAACAGACATTCTGCAACTGGTGACTGCTTTTAGAATTCAAGATTAAGCAAAGGTTTACGTTCATGTTAGCTCACTTCCTAAATGTTATAAAATATATTAGTAGATCAAATAAATAGAAAAGCTTCTATAGGTATTTTAAAAATCCGTAAAATTAAAATGCAATAATAGATAATGACACAGATTATTAAGAATGTTTCGAAGAAAATCTACTTTATTTTATGAATAGGTTTAATGTAGACATCTAAATACTTTATGATATATACGCAAATAAAGATTCCATCTTATTTTATAAATCATGCATTTAAGTTAAATTAATTTATACATCACTATGTACACCAAAAATAAAGTATTATATGTTAAAATGTGAAGATATTTAACTGATTAATTTTGAAAAAAACATGTCCGAGTACTCCCTTACCACGTTTTTTCATCGAGGTAGTACCCGGACATGGCTTTAACAGTACTGTTTATTGAATTCTCAAGTCATTTTCTTTAATTGAATGTCGTTACAATTACTTAAAGTCCTACCTTACACCAAAGTTAATTTAAAATGAGTCGTTTGGAAAACACTAATTGAAGACCGAAAACAGCGTTGCTTAGCGATAATGTATGAAAACGTACGGGTGTAGCAGTCATGTTTGAGAGGTGATCGTGGACGGTTTGTTTAGAGAGTTATCTCTAGCAGACACATTTTTAAATGGCCTGGGGGGAAAACAGATAATGCTTGCCTGTTAAGTTTGGGTATCAGCAGTTTACATAATTAGCTTTAAATAAATGTTTGGTGAGTGTCCGGCTACTACCGCTGTCTGGGTACTGCCTCCCCTGCTCTACTCCCTTCTTGTCATCCACGTTTCATGGTACAAACCTACACATGTATATTTGTCAACATTCACTTGGGAGACTAAGTGATGACGTTTCTCTTACAGTCATGCCACAGTTAAGAAACTACTCCAATCAAACAATATAAACATTTTAAATGTGAAAGTTATTAACCACTGCACGTATTTGTTGTAAATATATGTTACAGATACAAATACGCACCTCGGGCATACTGGTTCGCCCTAGAAAGTGTCAAACAGGTGAAAACGATCACAGATATCCACGCAAGCACTCCGGTGTCCGCCATTGTTATTATAAACGTGATGTTCCATCAATTATTTAAATGCCGATTCCAATAATCATCAGATAAGAATTAGATGAACATGATGCTAGATTTATGAGGTAAGGCATATATCCATGCATGACTAGCAAATTTCGCATATTGTTTATTACATTTTAGGAACATCACGCATGAGTTCAGCACTAAATCGTTCCAACTTCCGTTTTCTCCACATGGTAAATTTGTCACCAAAATAAACGATGGCAAATTCTTTTGGAGACGACTTGTTTGATGTTTTTGATGAAAAATCAGATTCAAACCCTGCTAAGCAAATCGAAGAAAAAGATGCTTCTTCCACCGAGAGCTTAAGCGACGAGAAAAGGTAATCGGTGCGCCTCAATGTGGGGCATTGTTGGTCGTAGAATCGTAATTTGGGGAAAATGAAACAAGGTGCAGATAGCCACCATTGATTGTAATATGTGCTCTACATGCACCTGGGTCTCACGGCGTGCTATGTACACTATATTGCTTATGTCAATACTACGTTGTGTTCATAGATAAAGGTGCAAGATCAGGTTAGCATTTTTCTTGGATACTGTCCCGTCACCTATTTTCGTGTTGTTTTTATTATCAAGGCCTTATTTCGTACTAGATTGACTTTACAAATTCACTTGCATGATTATATTAATAAAAAATGTTCGATTTTAACTTGTGCCATAAAGAGAGGTAATATATTATATATGATCTTTACTGTACAATATGAGTATTTATCTGAAGTTAATGATGTTTTGTAAACTCATTTTGACCAAAAAGCTTTGATCCCCCATGGCCAGTGAACATAGTGAAAGTAGTCACGGTATGCCCATATTGTCATGTATCATGTTCAAATATAATAAACATGGGGATCTAGTGGTTACAATACAAAAATTTGCATCAATGTTTAACTATTGCCATGCTTACAGAGCTGAAGACCTCCTTCGACAGATTGTCGGGAAAACTAAGAGAGCAGCAGGGACTGAATTTGAATCCCAGGAGTCGAAGAAGCAAAAAACAGAAGATGGTACTGGGTAGGTATAACACAACAAATGATCAAGTTATTTCACAGGCTTATGACCTTGATGACAAATACTGATATGTATATAAAACAGTATTTGTTTTAGCGTTTGATGGTGTTACATAAAGTTGGAATAGGTCTTCAGCAACCCTTGCTTGCTATTAAATCCGACTATGCTTGTCGAAAGAGGCGACTAATGGGATCAGGTGGTCAGGCTCGCTGTCTTGGTTGATGCATGTCATCGTATCCCAAATGTGTGTATCGATGCTCATGATGTCAATCACTGGATTATCTGGTCCAGCTGATGCAGCATTAAACAATATTCACTCTCTGGTCACTGTCACTGACTCGATTATTTACAGACTGCCGTCATATAGCTGGAATATTGCTGAGTGCGGCTTGAAACAACAAATAAACAAAGCCAAAAGCTATACAATCAGTGTTCCAGCTGGCGTTTGAAACTGTCAGTCCTGGTGAACTGGCAACTCTGATAATTTCCAGTCCTCCCTAATTTTGGTCAGTTCGAACTTCCAACAAATAAAAAAATGTATGAAAATTACCTCGTTTTAATTCTTTCAACAGCAAGTTCAATGCAATGACGTCATCTCTGAAGTATCTTAGTTAGATCTACACGTCATTCACGCAAAGTTCAGTCACAGTGTTCTCCTTTTTTCTTTTTTGTTTATATTTCAAGACAAAGTCACTGCAAATATATATTTAACCTCAAAGCAAAGCAAAATGTTATTTCCTTGCACTAAAAATAGACAAGGGGAAACCCTGATGGTAACAGACAAGGTGACTTCATTCGGGAAAAAAATACGTATATAAATATATTGCTGATATTTTGTTCAACAACAAAGATTTATGAGGTGCTTTCTTTGCCGGTCCACAGGGACTGGCAGTCACATGAATTACCAGTCCAAGCCTAATTTTACCAGTAAAAAACTGGTAATTACCGGTAAACAGGAACACTGACAATGCTGGGAAATCTGTTGTGAAGTTGATTTTTAGATTATGTTGTGATGTTTTCTTTTAATAGTGATGCCAACACAGAAGTCCTGCCTCGAATCCAAGTACACAGAGTGGAAACAGTGGAGGCCTGTTTGCATGAGGTGAGAAATACTCAATGTACCTTCATATTCATTGATAGACAAGTAATTTATGAAGGATAAGAAATATATTGGCTAATCTGTTGCTTACATGTTTTTTACCTGTTGTTGAAATATTTCTGATATTTTCTGTAAGCAGTTAAATAGGTAGGAGATCACATATTCCTAGGCATATGATCTTTTCACTGGTTGAGTTCAAAAGGGAGAGAGCAGTCAGATCATTTTGTTATACCCCAAGTACCTACCAGATGAAGAAAGTCACTACATGTGTTTTCCTTCTTTCTTTACTTGATGAGAGACCTATGTCACATCTGATGACAGTTGATAGTGTATGTCAGTTGCCGGGAACAGTTTGGTTCAAGAAAAACACATATATATTTACAAAGTATAGTTCCTTCCGCCTCACTGAAAAGCAGGGATGAAAGTTTATTGTTTCCCTAGTTTTGTCTGTTTCCAAAATTTATTGCTGGAATTGGTAAACAGACTTGGCATGAAGAATAATAGATACTAAAGACCTGTGTTGGTAGATTTTCACAGTCCTGCTGTCATTGTAAGGTCAAACAGTTTCTCTGCAAAGTCCAGCATTTGATTGATATTATACTGCAACTGATTACAACAGTGTCCGAAATAGCTGCCTGGCTACTGTCATGTGACTGGTAACACTTCTGTTGGGACAGGTGAAATTTTTCCTTCTTGTATATATTAAAACGACTTGCTTTTCTGCAAACCCCAAATGAAACATTAGGGACTTGTAATTAATGATAGTGGGGGGTGGGCTGGTGGGAGGGGGAACCATAACCATGAAAAAAGAACAGCAAAAGTGGGGGTGCCAAACTTTATCACAACTAATGGAAGCAGACATAAAAAGTGACACAGTTCTATTTTTTTAAATAAGAAAATTATGAATTTTAACATGATTTAGAGACTGGTCATTTATTATATATTGTTTGGGGAGGGGCGTCAGCACAATAGATAAAACCTCAGACCAAACCCACCAGCCCACACACCCCTATAATAAATTACCAATCCATTATGAGTCAACAATCGATGAAGTGCTATTTGTAGGTCATGTTATGGCCATTATCCCACTAGCATGTATTTGCAAATGCAGACCTGAAACTTTCAGCGGTGCTAGTTACATTTATGAGCCACCAACCCGTCTGGCTTGTTGGAGGTAAAAATTATTTCCGACGCTGAATTACAAGAACTGCTTGATGTTTTCAGGTGGCTGTGCCTCCCGATGAAGAGTTTGTGCCTCTCAAACCCTCGCAGAAGAAATCTGCTAAAGACTTCCCCTTCATCCTAGATCCGTTTCAGAAGGAGGCAATTCTCTGTCTGGAGAACAACCAGTCAGTGCTGGTGTCCGCTCACACGTCAGCGGGAAAGACCGTCGTAGCTGTGTGAGTAGTCTCAATCACAAATATATCTAGGGTAAGGAAGAGTATTTATCGATGTCAACTTCTTTATTATGAGGAACACAATGTTTTGGAGTATATACTTCTCCTTCATCAGGTGAGTAAGTATATACTCCGAAACGTTGTGTTCCTCATAATAAAGAAGTTGACATCTATAAATTCTCTTCTTTATGTGTATTATTTCTAAATGCCTTTCAAAGAAATGTCTAGGGTGTGTTTCCCAAGTCAGCATGCCCCCTGTAGTGATCTGGGGTCAGAATGGGTCCCCCTGTAGTGATCTGGGGTCAGAATGGGTCCCCCTGTAGTGATCTGGGGTCAGAATGGGTCCCCAACACCTCCTGCTTGACCAAAGTGCATATATTGGGCTAAAAAAGTCATAGTCTTGGTTCTCAGGCACCGCTCGCATCATAATAAAGTCTGCCGCACGTTTTTGTTTAAATTTTCCAAAGCGGCAAAAGAATATAAAAATCCAGTACTTAAAAACATTGAGATCCAACATAGCACACAGTTACTTCCCTTTACATGCACACTGCTTTACTGCTCATCTCGTGTTATGGTCCTGGCGGCAATAGGAGTTTGTACACTTGTTCATGTAGGGAGGCCCTTTCCAGGGTTGATGGCACACAACTGTTTGTTTGGTTACATACCAGTTTGAACAAGCAAAAAAACACCGCCCACCCGCACTATATTTTCAAAAGTCATTGCCTAAGAACCGATTCTTTAATCTTTTTAAGCCTTGCATAAAGTAATGTGTTACTTGTGATTCCTTGTCTCCAGGTACGCTATTGCCATGTCACTACAAGTGAAGCAGAGAGTCATCTACACAACCCCCATCAAGGCTCTGAGTAATCAGAAATACAGAGAGCTGTTTGAGGAGTTCCAGGACGTGGGCCTGATGACGGGAGACGTCACCATCAACCCCACCGCCAGCTGCCTCGTCATGACCACAGAGGTAGGAAGCGCTTGCTTTCATCATTCCTTTGTCATGTCACATTGACACTGATATGGAAACTGATGTGGAATAACCTACCTTGCTTTCAGATTTTGAGAAGCATGTTGTATCGTGGATCGGAGGTGATGAGAGAGGTGGCCTGGGTTATATTTGATGAGATCCATTACATGAGAGACAAAGGTAAGAGAAGATAACTCTCTTTGAATAATCCACTAACAATTTGGATATCAATGAATATGATAACTTGTCCTTTTGTTTGCCATTTACAAAGTAGAATAGATGATGTGAGTTCAAGATAGTTCAACATTGTTTTTGTGTCCTGTGATCTGTGTCCTGTGATCTGTGTCCTGTAATCTGTCCTGTAATCTGTGCCCTGTGATCTGTGTCCTGTAATCTGTCCTGTAATCTGTGTCCTGTAATCTGTGTCTTGTAGTCTGTCCTGTAATCTGCGTCCTGTAGTCTGTGTCCTGTAGTCTGTCCTGTAATCTGCGTCCTGTAGTCTGCGTCGTGTAATCTGTGTCCTGTAATCTGTGTCCTGTAGTCTGTCCTGTAATCTGCGTCCTGTAATTTGTGTTCTGTAATCTGTGTCCTGTAGTCTGTCCTGTAATCTTCGTCCTGTAATTTGTGTCCTGTAATCTGTGTCCTGTAATCTGTCCTGTAATCTGCGTCCTGTAATCTGTGTCCTGTAATCTGTGTCCTGTCATTTGTGTCCTGTAATCTGTGACCTGTGATTTGTGTCCTGTAATTTGTGTCCTGTGATCTATGTCCTGTTATCTGTGTCCTGTAATCTGTGTCCTGTAATTTGTGTCCTGTAATCTGTTCATGTAATCTGTGTCCTGTAATCTGTGTCCTGTAATCTGTCCTGTTATTTGTGTCCTGTAATCTGTGTCATGTAGTCTGTGATTTGTGTCCTGTAATTTGTGTCCTGTGATTTGTATCCTGTAATCTGTGTCCTGTGATTTGTGTCCTGTAATTAGTGTCCTGTAATGAGTGTCCTGTGATCTGTGTCCTGTAATCTGTGTCCTGTAATTTGTGTCCTGTAATCTGTGTCCTGTAATCTGTGTCCTGTAATCTGCGTCCTGTAATCTGTGTCCTGTGATTTGTGTCCTGTAATCTGTGTCCTGTGATTTGTGTCCTGTGATTTGTGTCCTGTAATCTGTGACCTGTGATTTGTGTCCTGTAATTTGTGTCCTGTTATCTGTGTCCTGTAATCTGTGTCCTGTGATTTGTGTCCTGTAATCTGTGTCCTGTAATCTGTGACCTGTAATCTGTCCTGTGATTTGTGTCCTGTAATCTGTCCTGTTATTTGTGTCCTGTAATCTGTGTCCTGTGATTTGTGTCCTGTAATCTGTGTCCTGTGATTTGTGTCCTATAATCTGTGTCCTGTGATCTGTGTCCTGTAGTCTGTGTCCTGTAATTTGTGTCCTGTAATCTGTGTCCTGTAATCTGTCCTGTTATCTGTGTCCTGTAATTAGTGTCCTGTAATCTGTGTCCTGTAATCTGTCCTGTAATCTGTGTCCTGTAATCTGTGTCCTGTAATCTGTCCTGTAAATAGTGTCCTGTGATCTGTGTCCTGTGATCTGTGTCCTGTGATTTGTGTCCTGTGATCTGTGTCCTGTAATCTGTGTCCTGTGATCTGTGTCCTGTAATTTGTGTCCTGTGATCTGTGTCCTGTAATCTGTGTCCTGTAGTCTGTGTCCTTTTATCTGTGTCCTGTAATCTGTGTCCTGTAATCTGTGCCCTGTGATTTGTGTCCTGTAATCTGTGTCCTGTAATCTGTGTCCTGTAATCTGTCCTGTAATCTGTGCCCTGTGATCTGTGTCCTGTAATCTGTGTCCTTTAATCTGTGTCCTTTAATCCTTGTGTCCTGTAATCTGTGACCTGTAATCTGTCCTGTGATTTGTGTCCTGTAATCTGTCCTGTTATTTGTGTCCTGTAATCTGTGTCCTGTGATTTGTGTCCTGTAATCTGTGTCCTGTGATTTGTGTCCTGTAATCTGTGTCCTGTGATTTGTGTCCTATAATCTGTGTCCTGTGATCTGTGTCCTGTAGTCTGTGTCCTGTAATCTGTGTCCTGTAATCTGTGTCCTGTAATCTGTCCTGTAAATAGTGTCCTGTGATCTGTGTCCTGTGATCTGTGTCCTGTGATTTGTGTCCTGTAATCTGTGTCCTGTAATCTGTGTCCTGTGATCTGTGTCCTGTAATTTGTGTCCTGTGATCTGTGTCCTGTAATCTGTGTCCTGTAGTCTGTGTCCTTTTATCTGTGTCCTGTAATCTGTGTCCTGTAATCTGTGCCCTGTGATTTGTGTCCTGTAATCTGTGTCCTGTAATCTGTGTCCTGTAATCTGTCCTGTAATCTGTGCCCTGTGATTTGTGTCCTGTAATCTGTGTCCTGTAATCTGTGCCCTGTGATCTGTGTCCTGTAATCTGTGTCCTTTAATCTGTGTCCTTTAATCTGTATCCTGTAGTCTGTGTCCTGTAGTCTGTGTCCTGTAATTAGTGTCCTGTAATCTGTGTCCTGTAATCTGTGTCCTGTAATTTGTGTCCTGTAATCTGTCCTTTAATCTGTGTCCTGTAATCTGTCCTGTAATCTGTCCTTTAATCTGTGTCCTGTAGTCTGTGTCCTGTAATCTGTGTCCTGTAATTTGTGTCCTGTAATCTGTGTCCTGTAATCTGTGTCCTGTGATCTGGGTCCTGTAATTAGTGTCCTGTGATCTGTGTCATGTAATTAGTGTCCTGTAATCTTTGTCCTGTAATTTGTGTCCTGTAGTCTGTGTCCTTTAATCTGTGTCCTGTAATCTGTGTCCTGTGATCTGTGTCCTGTAATCTGTGTCCTGTATTAGTCATCTTATATTTTTTAACTGTGTTGGTCAGAGAGGGGCGTGGTTTGGGAAGAAACCATCATCTTGCTGCCCGACAACGTGCACTACGTGTTCCTCTCCGCAACCATCCCCAACGCCCGCCAGTTTGCTGAGTGGATCTGTCACTTACACAAACAGGTATTGTACACTCCTTCACTTTCAAGAATAAAGCGGTGGTGAACATAATTCATTATACTAAAAACCGGGTTTGATTCAATGTGTGAAACCCTTTTCTGGTAGCTCACTCACTCACTCACTCACTCACTCACTCACTCACTCACTCTAGGAGAGTTTCCTCACTCACTCCAGGAGAGTTTCAGCACACACTCACTCACCCTAGGAGAGATTCAGCACTCATTCACTCCAGGAGAGTTTCAGCACTCATTCACTCCAGGAGAGTTTCCTCACTCACTCAAGGAGAGTTTCAGCACTCACTCACTCAAGGAGAGTTTCAGCACTCACTCACTCAAGGAGAGTTTCAGCACTCACTCACTCACTCTAGGAGAGTTTCCTCACTCACTCCAGGAGAGTTTCAGCACACACTCACTCACCCTAGGAGAGTTTCAGCACTCATTCACTCCAGGAGAGTTTCCTCACTCACTCAAGGAGAGTTTCAGCACTCACTCACTCAAGGAGAGTTTCAGCACTCACTCACTCTAGGAGAGTTTCCTCACCCACTCTAGGAGAGTTTCAGCACTCAATCACTCACTCACTCTAGGAGAGTTTCAGCACTCAATCACTCACTCACTCCAGGAGAGTTTCCTCACCCACTCTAGGAGAGTTTCAGCACTCTCATTCACTCACTCACTCCAGGAGAGTTTCAGCACTCACTCCAGGAGAGTTTCAGCACACACTCTCCCTCACTCTAGGAGAGTTTCAGCACTCACTCACTCCAGGAGAGTTTCAGCACACACTCACTCACTCCAGGAGAGCTTCAGCACTCACTCTAGGAGAGTTTCGGCACACTCTCACTCACTCACTCTTGGAGAGTTTCAGCACACACTCACTCACTCAAGGAGAGTTTCCTCACCCACTCTAGGAGAGTTTCAGCACTCAAACACTCACTCACTCTAGGAGAGTTTGCTCACCGACTCTAGGAGAGTTTCAGCACTCACTCACTCTAGGAGAGTTTCAGGACTCACTCCAGGAGAGTTTCCTCACTCACTCTAGGAGAGTTTCAGCACTCATTCACTCACTCACTCCAGGAGAGTTTCAGCACTCACTCCAGGAGAGTTTCAGCACTCACTCCAGGAGAGTTTCAGCACACACAGACTCCCTCACTCCAGGGACCGCCTCCGTGGTCTAGTGGTAGAGTGTCCTCGGAGAGCGGAAGGTCGGGGGTTCGATTCCCGGCTGCGCCATACCAAAAGAGGTTTAAAGATGGTACTTGTTGTTACCCTGTCTGGCGCTCGGCATTAAGGGGCTAAAGCAAGGACTGGTCGGCTCGGAGTCAGTATACTGTGTCTGAGTGGGGTATTCATGTTAAACTGCGGCATGTTATCTCAGTGAGCTAGCACTATAAATCGGCATCAGTCCGGACTAGTACAAGCTGCCACACACACACACGTACATGCACGTCGTTATATAAATGCAATAATCTTGGACGCGACGTTAAACCCCATTTCACCTCACCTCACTCACTCCAGGAGTGTTTCAGCACACACTCACTCACTCACTCCAGGAGAGTTTCAGCACACTCACTCACTCCAGGAGTTTCAGCACACACACACTCACTCACTCCAGGAGAGTTTCAGCACACACACGGGGCGGTAGGGTAGCCTAGTGGTTAAAGCGTTCGCTCGTCACGCCGAAGACCCGGGTTCGATTCCCAACATGGGTACAATGTGTGAATGTGTCCCCCGCCGTGATATTGCTGGAATGATGCTAAAAACGGCATAAAAACCATACTCACTCACTCACTCACTCAGCACACACACACTCACTCCAGGAGAGTTTCAGCACACACACACACTCACTCACTCCGGGAGAGTTTCAGCACAAACACACTCACTCACTCCAGGAGAGTTTCAGCACACTCACTCACTCCAGGAGTTTCAGCACACACACACTCACTCACTCACTCCAGGAGAGTTTCAGCACACACTCACTCACTCACTCACTCACTCACTCCAGGAGAGTTTCAGCACACACACGGGGCGGTCAGGTAGCCTAGTGGTTAATACGTTCGCTCGTCACGCCGAAGACCCGGGTTCGATTCCCAACATGGGTACAATGTGTGAATGTGTCCCCCGCCGTGATATTGCTGGAATGATGCTAAAAACAGCATAAAACCATACTAACTCACTCACTCAGCACACACACACTCACTCCAGGAGAGTTTCAGCACACACACACTCACTCACCCCGGGAGAGTTTCAGCACTCACTCACTCACTCCAGGAGAGTTTCAGCACAAACACACTCACTCACTCCAGGAGTGTTTCAGTACACACTCACTCACTCCAGAAGAGTTTCAGCACAAACTCACTCACTCACTCCAGGAGTGTTTCAGCGCACACACACACTCACTCACTCCAGGAGAGTTTCATCACGCACTCACTCACTTACTCTAGGAGAGTTTCAGCACACACTCACTCACTCACTCTAGGAGAGTTTCAGCACACACACACACACTCACTCACTCCAGGAGAGTTTCCTCACTCATTTCAGGAGAGTTTCAGCACACACTCACTCACTCAAGGTGAGCTTCATCACTCACTCTAGGTGAGTTTCAGCACTCACTCACTCACTCACTCAGCGTGAACATTTGCATTTGTCCGTTTATTGGCGAGATCAATGACTTAGGTTTGAATGATTATATATGTTATACTACTTATGTAACCTTTTGCTGGTGTTGAGATGGTGACATGTTCGTACGATGTTCCAGCCGTGCCATGTCGTGTACACCGACTTCCGCCCCATCCCCCTCCAGCACTACATCTTCCCTGCGGGCGGAGACGGACTCCACCTGGTGGTGGATGAAAACGTGAGTTCACGCCAAGACGCTACTTCATCCTTCAAACTGATTTACTGTCTCATAGTCTATGCCAGATTTTGTTTGTGTTCAAAGAACCTTCAACTTGTTTCTTGCTTCTGAGCCTAGTAGAATAGATAATTTGATGGAGACTGGGCTTCCGGCTGGTAGCTAAAGTTGCGGAAGTCTTATGTCATGTTCAGTGACATATCATGATGGACGTAAAGTAATTTGAGCTGTTAGTTTGAATATTCTTTCTGTCCTTCTGGAATTCCTGGGTGCTGTTGTACAAAGCGATCTAAGTGCTAAGATGTCGTTACTCCCATACCTTAACACAGACTTACAACAGTCTTAGCACTTAAAGTGTTTTGTACAATGGCACCTATCTAAGTATATTCTTTTGGTTTGTTATTGATTTCCTGCAGCGAAAGATGACCCATCATTATGTTACTGAGTGAAATGTTTCAGGGGGATTTTCGGGAGGAGAACTTCAACACTGCGATGGGTGTATTGAAGGACGCAGGTGATGCTTCCAAGGGAGATCAGCGGGGTCGTAAAGGTGGCTCCAAGAGTGAGTACAGACTAGAGTTATCTCCCCATGTCTGGCTGCAGATGATGATTGATTGAAGTTTGACTTTCTTTTCTGCTGCTTGTAGGTCACGAGTCCAACTGCTTCAAGATCGTCAAGATGATCATGGAGAGAAGCTTTGCCCCAGTGATTGTGTTCAGCTTCAGCCGGAAGGACTGTGAAGGATATGCGATGCAAATGGCCAAACTAGACTTCAACACAGGTCAGTACACACGCTCTGATCTTAGCAATTAGAAAGAGGTAGTCATTTGTTGAATTAAAGGAAATGGCTGATGAAAAAAGGGGAATCGGAGTTTTCCATTATTTATACTCTTATCCCTCCATAAGAGCTATGTTTCTTCTTGCTTCGATCATATAGGAGTGTAGAGCAATGTAGAACAATCACCAGAACACACCCTCTGACCACCTCGTTCCCAGCATGCACCTTTTCCCCACGATTGCCCATAGGCAGGTGACAAGTTGATCCAAATCTTCGAGGGGATGAACAGGTGGCAGTTATGACCTGTTGTGTCAGGATAAGTACATAAAGAAGGGGACTTCTCTGATTCCGTATATTTTTTAACTTATTCCACTACAACAGTATTATCAGGAGCCAAAGTACTGAGTTACGGCAATTATTCTGTAGAAAGAAGGACAGAAGATGCAGGAGTACTGCCAGTACTGGTGTCCTTGATGGCAGTTGCTCCATTTCCACCTTGTCAACAGTGACGTGGATGTGTGTCTAGTTTTTCGGGCAAAGATGAGAGGACCCAGCTGGTGGACTCCCTCGACATCCTCTGCTGACTGATCCCTGAGGTAGAAGTTGGGGAATTTAGTGTCAGATCCCCCCAAACAAACCCAGATGATGTCTGTGACGGAGCTGTTGTTGTGGAGTGCCATCGCGAACGCCAATGCCTGAATGTCTAGTGGAGCGTAACCAGGGCAACATGTTCTTGGAGATATTCCTCAACCATCCGTGATGGTTGGGAGGAAGAGACATTTACGTTGTGCCCCGACTAGTGACGTCAATATAACGGTGTAACACCTATATCAGGCAAAGGGAGACATCCTCTGTGTCACTGGAGCTGAAGATGCTTGTCAGCAGGGTGACGGTGAAGGTGCAATCCGACTGGCCAGGTGATTGGTTCTTGGGGATAAAATCCCACATTAAGCCAAGATGTACATCTGCTCATGAACCATGTCCAAACCTGATCTGAATGACGTCCGGAGCTTGCAGTTCACTGATATGCTGCATGACAGGAGAAAGGCTGTTTTCTGAGTAAGAGGTAGTAATCCCACTGCAGTGATAGGTCCGTGGGGAGATACCCTGAGACGCTGATCAGCCTTATGGTAACCCAGTAGTATGGCTGCGAGTTTCGGGGCTGTGGCGACACGGTAGATCGGGAGTTGCCAGGGACTGAGTTAATGGCTGAGATGTAACTGGCAATGGTGCCGTCTGACAAATGCTTCAAATGCCATGAGTTGTGTATTTGTCCTGTATTCTGTGTTGCAGAAGAAGAGAAGGGCTTGGTAGAAGAAGTGTTTAACAATGCTATAGATTCACTGTCTGATGAGGACAAGAAACTACCACAGGTGGGAATCACACATTCATAGTTACAGAACGGGATTTCAGTCTCGTTGTTTAGGAAAGTTTGGAAAGAAATATAGATCTGTTTTTGACAGTGAGCCAATAAAAGTGGACTAAAGATACAACATTTGATTTTTTATCTGAATCACCAGAACCATTTTTCCAAAGAAAATATTTGTATAAAGAATATAAAAAAATGAATTTATGACAAGGCTAAAATGACCAAAATTCCTTTGACATTCCTATTGCATTGTAGTCATTAGTTCCTGTTCTGGCTGTCATCACACTATAAAATCTTTTCAAGTTTCAACAGACATCTGCCATTATCAAAGTAGTTGTGCAATATATTACTCCTTACAGTCTTTGATGTGGACATCAGCTAGGTGAAGTACTGACTCTTTATGTTTTAATGAGGGATATCCAAATAAGGAAATAGCTGCAGGCTTTTCCAGTTGACAGAATATATCTGATCAAAGATAATCAATTTGTTGTGGCCTGAGAGGCAGAGCTTCAGATTACTTTTTGAGCAATTGAGTTTATACTCTAGGGTTTCTATTTTAATTGGGGGGCACGGGTGGCCCAGTCGTCTAAGGTGCCACGATTCGCTGTGCAGAGTTGCTTTCCTTGGGCACGCCAGAAACCTATGATTGTGGGTTGAATCCCAATTCGCCCTGATTATGTTTCTAGGTTTGTCAGCACCATACCCGTGCTCATGGGTTTCACTGAAGTGGTAAACGTCTTAGACCTGCATCACTTTGGGCTTTCCTCCCACATTAAGCTGACACGCCGCGATATAACTGGAATATTGTCAAAAGCGGCGTTAAACCCTCCTCACTCACTCTATTTTAATTGGGTTATTACCTTTTTCATTGGCATGATTGGGTAACCAATATTTTTTCACTCATCTATTCATCACTCTATTGGGTTTTTCCCCAAATTAGAACCTTTTAAGATTTAAAAATAAATAAATAATGTTTTAGATGTATATAACTGTTCTGAATATATAGTCTTGACTCGGAAAGTAAATTAGCTCGTATTTGTGGTTCGGAAATTAGCTCCTTTGTACGCATGCTGAAAAAGCTTCGTTGGGTATTTACGCGTGCCGCTTTTATACATTTGAGTTTTTCATTTCATGCATTTGTTTCTGTACGGAAGTTAATTGAAAGTAATTGGGTTTTGAATATTTTTGGGGAGTATTTTATGCAAATACGCTTTATACGTTTATCTGTAGCTCTGCTGAGAGGCTTTTCTCAAAGTCAGTGATTTGTGTGATCGTGTATCAAGACCCTTGAGTTCAGAATGATGCATCAGGTATTGATTACCAGCGTGTCTGGCAGTATATTTCTGGAATGTATAGAACCCTGAATGTGGATTGTATTTCTCAACCAGGTGGAGAATGTGCTGCCACTTCTGAAGAAAGGTGTTGGGATCCATCACTCGGGGCTGCTTCCCCTGCTGAAAGAAACCATTGAAATTCTCTTCTCAGAAGGCCTCATCAAGGTAAAATACACTACTGTACTGGAGCAGATAGCAGCGTGTTATGTCACGCTACCAATGATCCTCACTCACTCTCACTCACTCAGTTCACTCAAACATTATATTTATCCATTCCAAACTTAGATGGCCAATATTTATGTATACTTAATATTTATTGGGCACTGATGCATCGCGATTCACTCCATACGATATGTTGCGCACTTTTAGAGGTGCTGTATCTCGATTTTTCACGATACTTTTTCTTTGATAAACTCTTATCACAGATACGTTTAAATGTGTTTTAAATGAATTTTAAATTTGAACCGAGTCATGAAAACATAGGGACAATATAATTTTGCTACACACACGTAAGTCTCCGAAAATACAGCGGCTATGCTAGCTTTGTATATCAGTAGCAGTTCAAGCTTTCTGATTGGCTGAGCAGTCTCTAACTCAAACATGTCGGAAAAAGCAGATGCTCGTCCTTTGCTAGAGAACCACTGGGGACTTACTGTGAAAATGGCAAGATACTGGTACTTATCTAGTCCATGTAGGACTGTTACTTTTGTGTTTGCTAGCCATTACATGGAAATGACAGATAGTTCATTAAGTTAAAATACTCATTACAGTATATTTTTTATGACTCATTAACATTCATTCACTTTTATTTAATTTTTCATTTTAATAAACTAAGTTTAATTCATTTATCTCTTGTCTTCTCTTGTCACTATGTGTATCGTAGCGTATCGAGATACGTATTGAATTGTGATGTAAGTATTGAGATACGTATATGTATCGTGACCTAGGTGTATCGATGCATCCCTACCTGTCTCAGTTTTGGTACATGTGAATGCTATTTTATCATGCAGGCAGCAATATTTGTCTGTATTACAACCAACTGAAAAGGGAGAAACAATCAACCCTATGTATGTCACTAACCACTATTAGCTTAACAAAATGTACACCGTCAGTCCGTCCGTCCGTGCAAGATGTTCTTTCCGGAGCAGATCTTACAAACCGTAGAATATTTCTTCACTAAACTTGGCACATAGATAGGTCTAGTGGTGAACTGGTGCCTTTTGATAGTCTGAGATTTTCAAAAGTAGGGTATAAGTAGCCAAACTCTATTCCTGAATTGCACCAGATCTGGGAGATATGCCATGTCCTGATGACTCTTGTAATGTAATTCTATGACAATTCATGGGTTCTTGTGTTGCTCTTGAATCAAGTGCGAAGGTCACAAAAGTAAAGCTGCTTCACCAGCTGTTTTTGTATTGAATATCAGCTTACAGTTTCTGCACTGGAACATGTAGACCAACACTGTGTGTTTCTGTTGCAGGCATTATTTGCCACGGAGACATTCGCCATGGGCTTAAACATGCCGGCTAGGACTGTGCTGTTCACGGCCGCCAGGAAGTTTGATGGCAAGGACTTCAGATGGGTAAGGATGGATATCTTGTCATCTATCATGATCTATGTCACATTGTAGATGAGTTATGTTTTCTTGGTGTTGTGATTATGACCAGTCAGTGGCAAGCAGGCTTCCTTGGGTGATCACTAGCATGGCCCCATGGAGATTCCGGCTTGGTGTAGGTCATCCCATGCTGGTTTTAGTAGGCAAACAAATTGACCAGGTGCTCTGCCTGGATTATTTATAGGTCATTGTATAGCTGGAATATTGCGAAGTGCGATGTTAAACAACAAACTAACACACACGCACACTAGCACACTATATATCCCAATAATGAGCAACAAATGCAGGCTGACGATATGTTCTCATGAATATGCATAACATGGAAAGCAGAGAACCAGGCAGGTCCGCTTTGTCATGTCACATCTCAAAGCTGGTCAGTGGCCATTGGAATCATGCCTGACTGCTTTAGAGTGACCTTGTGATGATTTAAGCTGAGTCATTGTTTCCAGGTAACGTCTGGTGAGTACATCCAGATGAGTGGTCGGGCTGGACGTCGTGGGTTGGACGAGAGAGGAATTGTCATCCTGATGGTGGACGAGAAGATGAGTCCAGCTGTTGGCAAGACACTGCTCAGGGTGAGAAATCTGCTGTGTGATGATGTACCTGTACAAGTCCAAAGCAATCTCAGCTCGACACTTGCCCAACTGGCGTACTTTAATGTGGTCATAGTGTTTGACACTTTGTGCTACAGGGTCCATGGTGGCATCCAATGAAGTGGGGTTGATTCAACAGAGACATCAACCCATACGTTTTAGGCATAATTGTTACAAAAATTGACAAGTGTGAAAACTATTACAATCTTGGTTTGAAAACTTACCAAAATGAATGAAAATGAATGCTTGCTGTTACCACAGAGAGAGAGAGTAATATGACTACGCATTTATAAATTAGATTACAAATTGTAAGTGTAATATCAGAATGTGTTTACTTCACATGTGCTTTTGTGGAGGAAGTTTGATAGATCTATTCTCCACAAATGTCCCAGGTGTTTGTTCTGTCCACACCTTACCTCATTACCTGACGCTGACCTTGTAGGTTTACCTCATTACCTGACCTTGTAGGTTTCTCCAAGTAGTGAATGATTTTGCCCCGCACCACTTTTGGCTTTGCGCCCCTGTGATATAATTGAAATACTGTTGTTGAATTGTTCATCATGACATGCACTGGTAAGCCCCAAGGGGGTTCCCAAAGTGCAGTTGTAATGACTTTGTTGTCCGACATGACAACATAAATCACTGGATGTAGCTATACATGCTTTTGATTGGTTGATTGTTTACGATATTTGTCATAGGATAGTAGGAACAGTTCTAGTCCTTTTAACTCTCTTGCAATGTTGCACTCAAATCGTAGTCAGTTTAAATTGCACGGAGAGACCCCCACATGCTTGAGCTGATGTTATCTCCTCCTCTCCCACCCTCAGGGCCTGCCCGACCCCCTGAACAGTGCCTTCCACCTCACCTACAACATGGTGCTCAACCTGCTGCGTGTGGAGGAGATCAACCCCGAGTACATGCTGGAGCGATCCTTCTACCAGTTCCAGAACTACGCCGCCATCCCCGACCTCGTGGAGAGTACGTCCACTGTCATACAGCCTAGACATGCTTGGGGGGGACAGTAACTGTTTGGGGTTTGGTTACCTATTGCCATTATTTGAGAGGGGGGATGCTTTAGGTTCATGTCTACCTCTGTTTATCAGGACTAATTTAAGAAAAAGTCATTTCCTGAGCACACAGAGATTCAAGAATTCATTTCAGTATCAGCGCTTAAATTCAGTTCTTCCAAATAAAGTTGTTGAAGGGACACATATGTGGCTATTCAATAATCTCTAACTTTTAGTGTTTTGCTGTGATGTTGATAGTATTGTAAGTGTGTTTGTGGATGTGTGTTTGTTCATGTTTGTTGGTCTATTTGTAGATGTTTTTGCACGTTTTGTTCCTGTTTCAGAGCTGCGTCAGAAGGAGGAGGACTACAGGTCCATGAAGATCCAGAATGAGGACCAGGTGGCCTCATACTTCAAGATCCGACAGCAGCTGGACAACCTGGGCCACGACATGATGCACTTCATACAGAAACCTGCCTACCTGCTTCCCTTCCTGCAGCCTGGCAGACTCGTCAAGGTAGGACATTTACACCTGTAGACGCTCATCAAGGTAGGACATTTACATCTGTAGGGAGACTCGTCAAGGTAGGACATTTACACCTGTAGACGCTCGTCAAGGTAGGACACTCACATCTGTAGGGAGACTCGTCAAGGTAGGACACTCACACCTGTAGACGCTCGTCAAGGTAGGACACTCACACCTGTAGGGAGACTCGTCAAGGTAGGACACTCACACCTGTAGGGAGACTCGTCAAGGTAGGACACTCAAATCTGTAGGGAGACTCGTCAAGGTAGGACACTCACACCTGTAGGGAGACTCGTCAAGGTAGGACACTCACACCTGTAGGCAGACTCGTCAAGGTAGGACACTCACACCTGTAGGGAGACTCGTCAAGGTAGGACACTCACACCTGTAGGGAGACTCGTCAAGGTAGGACACTCACATCTGTAGGGAGACTCGTCAAGGTAGGACACTCACACCTGTAGGGAGACTCGTCAAGGTAGGACATTTACACCTGTAGGCAGACTCGTCAAGGTAGGACATTTACACCTCTAGGGAGACTCGTCAAGGTAGGACACTCACACCTGTAGGCAGACTCGTCAAGGTAGGACACTCACATCTGTAGGCAGACTCGTCAAGGTAGGACACTCACATCTGTAGGGAGACTCGTCAAGGTAGGACACTCACATCTGTAGGGAGACTCGTCAAGGTAGGACACTCACATCTGTAGGGAGACTCGTCAAGGTAGGACACTCACATCTGTAGGGAGACTCGTCAAGGTAGGACACTCACATCTGTAGGGAGACTCGTCAAGGTAGGACACTCACACCTGTAGGCAGACTCATCAAGGTAGGACACTCACATCTGTAGGGAGACTCGCCAAGGTAGGACACTCACACCTGTAGGCAGACTCGTCAAGGTAGGACACTCACATCTGTAGGGAGACTCGTCAAGGTAGGACACTCACACCTGTAGGGAGACTCGTCAAGGTAGGACACTCACATCTGTAGGGAGACTCGTCAAGGTAGGACACTCACATCTGTAGGGAGACTCGTCAAGGTAGGACACTCACACCTGTAGGGAGACTCGTCAAGGTAGGACACTAACATCTGTAGGGAGACTCGTCAAGGTAGGACACTCACATCTGTAGGGAGACTCGTCAAGGTAGGACACTCACACCTGTAGGCAGACTCGTCAAGGTAGGACACTCACACCTGTAGGCAGACTCGTCAAGGTAGGACACTCACATCTGTAGGGAGACTAGTCAAGGTAGGACACTCACACCTGTAGGGAGACTTGTATTGTATATTAGTTTTCATACATATCCTACCACAACTTTATTGAGATTACATCATTACATTCAAGATATGGCTTGTTAATCTCAGGCAAGTAGATCCTAACAGCCTTAACTTCAAGAAGCCCACTGGCTGACTGTAGAGATCTCTGTTTTACCAGGTGAAGAACAAAGAAGATGATTTTGGCTGGGGTGTTGTCATCAACTTCCAGAAGAAGATGGACCAGAGCAAGGTAGACTGGAGCACACTGTGTACATCCATTGTATAACTGTTCAACCATTGTATAATTGTACAACCATTGCATCATTGTTCAACCATTGTATAACTGTGTGCAACCATTGTATAACTGTTCAACAATTGTATAATTGTGCAACCATTGCATAATTGTTCAACCATTGTATAACTGTGTACAACCATTGTATAGCTGTTCAACAATTGTATAATTGTGCAACCATTGCATAATTGTTCAACCATTGTATAACTGTGTACAACCATTGTATAACTGTTCAACAATTGTATAATTGTGCAACCATTGCATATTACATTAAGTAATACGTTACCACTGTTATACCGAGGCTGTTGTCTCCCACAACTGCTGCTATAGCGAAATCTACCACAGAGATCTCAATTACCTCATGCAGCACGTGCGTAGCCACCTAGCTGCCATATGACACCCTTCACTCTTGTCTCCTTCGTCTGCTTAGCAAGACGTGTTTTCTCCTGCTGAAGCGTTCCTTGAAGATTTGGTGATATTTATTATAGTTTATTCTCTAATAAACTGTGCTTTTATGGGGCGTTGCGGTAGCTACGCTTGGTTGTAATTTTCCCGCCAAACGGAAAATTTTTCCCGCCCTTTTTTCTCTATACTTGCGGGGTTCGCGTATGCACGTTGTGTTTTACGTTTCCCCTGTTCTTGTATGTTTTGGGGGTTAACATAACTTATTTCTTTAATAAAAGTTATATGTGTATGTTATATGTTCACATTGCTCGTTTATTTTCTTGTGAAAATGCTCGTTTGTGAATCGTTGTGGTGCGTGCGTTGTAACCATGTTTTTTTTTTCGTTTATAGCAAACAATGTCTGACATGGATATGTCCCCAGTATCCACCCCCTCTACCCCTGCTCCTCGGAGTTGTGGGGTGTGCAGAAAGTTTTTGTCATCCCGGGATCCCCACGATCGTTGCCCGCGGTGCAGGGTTCCTTGCGGGGACACCCGGTGTACCCTGTGCGAAGGTCTGGGGCCTGCGGAGTTTGAGCGGTACCGGCTGTACGTACGGTCCGTCTCCACCCCTGTGGTGGCCGGTTCGTCCGGTCGGGGTCCCCGTGCGGGTACCACCTCCTCGGCTGCGGCGGATCCCCTTGCGGCCCTCGGGCTGTCTGGGGCTTCCGTCGCCGCATTATTGTCGAAACTTGTGGACTCCAAGCTGGCGGCCTTATCGCAAGATAGGCCGCTGGCTGTTCCGTCCCCGGCCTCTTCGGTGGCCGCGGGTTCGGACGCGGGGTCCACCGGTACGGCGGCGGCTGCCGTGGTTACCGGTCCTTCCCCCGAACCGTTGCTTCCGCTATCGGTTAAGGACCGCGTTGCCATGGTGTATGACCTCTTAGAGGACATGCCAAAGCCCCTGCCGATACCGCGGGGAATCCACGGTTCCGTGGGTTCCTCCGAGGTATACGACGAGACGTCCGACAAGGCTTTCCCGGCATCAACCTTGCTGCGCGGGATTAAGCCTTCTTTGGAGAAGGCCTTCACGGCTGCCTCCGGTCGGGGTCTCCCGTTACCTCCCCTGTCGTGGAGAAAAGGGTCTTTCCCAGTACATGACCTTGCCTTTCCCGAGGCTGGTCCTTCTGCGGAAGCCCATGTGGAGCGTTTGGGGGTCCGTGCCCCACCGGTTGCCACGGTACCACAAGGTACCTTGCAACAGCTGGACACCCTCGCTCGACACTCCATGCTGGCAATGTCTCACAGAGACACATACCTGGCTGCAGCGGCCAGTCTGGTCGAAGGTTCTCCCACGGACCGAGACCAGCACATTTACAACTGCTTGCTCGGTTTGAATGCTTCCCTGGAGTACGTTGCCGGGGCTTCGGCCTTTGTTTCCGGCACGTGCCATTTTCTTCGGCGCCAGTCGTATCTGGTTGCTTCAGGGTTGGACGCTGCTAATCAGGAGGTGCTCCTTTCGCAGCCTTGGTCTGCTCGGACCCTGTTTAATAACAAGATCCCTGGGGTTCTGAAGGAACAACAGGCCGCTGTGTCTGCCGAGGCCTCTCGGCACACACTGGATCTTGTGGGGTCCTTGCATAGGCGCCTGGGTGCCCCTCCGAAGCGGAGCGCGCCCCAGGATGCTGCGTCCGGCAGGCCTAAGGGGTCGGGTCCTTCTGCCTCCGGGAAGAAGCCCCGCTCTGAGGGCTCCGGTAAGGGTTCTCAGCAGCCCTTTCGCGGGAAGAAGGGGAACTGGGGGAAGCCCAAGTCGTCTAAGGACGGCAAGAGCCCCTCCAGGTGACTCTCATTGGAGGGGTTCGTATGCCGACAGCGCCAACTTCGGTTGGCCCGTAGGCGACCCCGAGTCACTTGGCCCTGGACAGTTGCGCCTGCCGCAGCCTGTCCGGCCCCCCTCTCTTTCCCCAGTGGGAGCCAGACTCCAGACTTACTGGGAGAATTGGGAACAAGTGTTCGACGACCCGTGGGTGGTCAACACGATTCGGTACGGCTATCGGCTCGATCTCATTGCGAATCCGCCGCTCACCGTTGCCCCGTCTGCAGGTTTCTATTCGGAAACCGATCTTCCCTTCCTCGCCGATGCCATCGGCAGGTTGGTGGAGAAGAGGGCAGTTCGGGAGTTAGCTCTACCAGAAATAACACCGGGGTTTTACTCCAGGATATTTCTCGTTCCCAAGAAGGACAGTGCCGAACTCAGAATGATTCACAACTTGAAATCGTTCAACGAGTTCTACCTGCGCAAACCGCCCAAGTTCAGAATGTTGAGCTTGACGGACCTGAAAGCACTGATCATGCCGGCCGACTGGCTAGCTTCGATCGACCTGAAGGATGCTTATCTGCATGTTCCGATTCACTCGGATCATCAGAAGTATCTCAGGTTTGTCTTTCAAGGCAGGCACTACGAGTGGGTTGTACTCCCATTCGGTCTTTCATCCGCTCCCTGGCTGTTCACCCGGTTAACCACCCCCATAGTGGGGTTCCTCCACCGGAGGGGTGTCCGGTACTTTGCGTACCTGGACGACTCGCTAGTAGCAAATCGAATGTCGGACACCCTGTCACGCCATCTCGTTTTCGCACGTCGGCTCTTGGAGCAATTGGGGTGGATTGTCAATCTCCCCAAGAGCGAGTTAACCCCTTCTCAGAACTTGCAGTTCATCGGAGGTCGGTTCAACACGGTGTCCCATCGCCTATTTGTCCCCCCAAACCGGTGGCACAAAATTCAGGCGATGATTGCCAAAGTCTTAGCGGTGCAACAGACTGTTCACTTTTGGGAACAGCTGTTAGGGCTACTTGTATCAGCCCAGGACTGCACCGAACGGGGTCGTCTCCTACTCCGCCCGCTGCAACGGTTTTTAATCCAGTTGTTAGCAACGGAGGTGAACAGTGCGACCGTCGCCCTCCCGGATCGGCTCCGACCGCATCTGGAGTGGTGGACGCTCCCTTACAATGTCTTATCAGGAGTCTCTATGCGGCCCTGCCGGGCCACGTTGAACCTGTATACAGACGCCTCTCTTGTGGGCTGTGGCGCCCATCTAGAGGGGGAGGTGAGCTCGGGGCTGTGGTGGGTAGACGAACTAGGTCTTCACATCAATTGTCTCGAGTTCAAGGCAGTGATCAACGCAGTCAATCACTGGAAGCATCGTCTCGTCGACGCCCGGCTCATGCTGGCGACCGACAACACGACGGTAGTGTCCTATGTGAACAAACTGGGGGGAACCCACAGTCACTCGCTACTCGATCTCACGTTCGAGTTTTACGCTCTGGTGGACAGTGTCCCGTGCCAGATACGCGCCCGTCACATCCCAGGTGTGCGGAACGTACTGGCCGATGCTCTATCGAGGCCTCAGGATCCGAGCCCCACAGAGTGGATGCTGAACCCAGTGGTGTTTCAGTGGCTGTGCGAACGTTTGGGTCGTCCGATGGTCGACCTGTTCGCAACACGGTTCAACAATCAACTCCCGTTGTTTGTATCACCAGTCCCGGACCCGAGGGCCATCGATCACGATGCTCTCGCGTTAGACTGGACGGGCTTGGACGCTTATGCTTACCCGCCGACAGCGTTGATACCACACATTCTAAGCCGGCTTCTAGGAGTTCGCTGTCGAATGTTACTGATCGCGCCCATGTGGCCGAACAGATCGTGGTACCCCGACTTGCTGACCCAGGTCACGCAGTCGCCACTCCCACTGCCTGTGAGACCGGATCTCTTGATCCACCCTCACACCCGTCAGCTTCATCCAAACGCAGGGCAGTTCAATCTGCACGCGTGGATGTTGTCACCAAGCGTCTGAGGAGTAAAGGTTTTTCTCGCCGGGCGTCTCGGGCATACGTTAGTATGCATCGTGATTCTACCCAGAAGGTGTATAATGCACGTTGGGTTATTTTCACGAAGTGGTGTTGTAAACATCACATTCATTCGCCAGATAAGGTATCTGTGCAGGATATTGCTCGTTTCATGTCTCACTTGCGAGAGACCCGGAAACTCTCCGGGGGTTCCATTGCCAACTATGTCTCGTCCGTTGCTACGGTACGGGACGTTGCTATGGGTACCAGTCTCTCCAAAGAGCCGGTGATACGGGGTATTATCAAGGGTTTCAAACAGCACGATCTTAAGAAGGGCCGCCTTCGGGCACCGGCCTGGGATCTTTCCCTAGTGTTGCAATCACTTACGGAAGCTCCGTATGAACCCTTGCATAGTGCTTCGTTCCGGCATGTGACTTGGAAAACAGCATTTCTCCTCTCCTTTGCCACGGCGGCACGTGTATCCGAAATTCATGCACTCGATGTCGCCAAGGTACGATTCGATAGGGGTGACGAAGGAGCGGTCCGCCTGGGCCTGCTCATGGGCTTCGTCGCCAAGAATCAGAGAGTCGGGCAAACGGAGAGAGAATTCACTTTAAGATCCCTCAAAGAAATCTTACATCCTGCTGATACTGAGGACAGAGCGCTGTGTCCGGTTAGGGCCCTTAAGTATTATCTTAAGGCTTCGAATGAACGTAGACAAGGGCGTGACCGTCTGTTCATATCGTGTAACCCTAATCGCACGGTTGACATAACTCGCAACTCGATTGCGTTGTGGCTTCGTTCTGTCATCAATCTGGCGTACCGGTCTCGGGGGTTTACCGGTAGCGGGGTCAAACCCGCACGAGATCAGGGCGCTAGCGGCAACATTTGCCCTACACTCGAATATCTCTGTTCACAGAATATTACGAGGTTGTTACTGGCGTTCTGACTCGGTTTTTGCCAATCATTACCTCAGAAAGGTTTCTGATGAAGACGTGGAGGGGGTGCACCGTCTTGGGCCGCTGATCGCGGCACAAGCGGTCATCTAGGGGGTGTGTCCAGCGCAATTCCAAACTCCGCAGTCGTCAGTCCTTGCACGGTGGTCAATCTGGGTCGTCTCCAATGTTCCCACGCCGTGGGTACAGGAGTGGGGGTCCTGCAAACCAGCGCACTCACACCACAGGTGAGGCGGCTTTTTGTGTGTTTTGTCCTTATTTGTATTTTGACAATTATGCATTTAATTGTCTGTCGTGTATTCCAACCTTGCGATACATGCTTACGAATACTGGAATTAGGTCACGCGCCTAATGCATACTTTAAGTAGGCTTGCTCTGGGATATACGGTCTGAAGGAAATTAATTTCCCTCTTTTCGACTGTTTAACCTGATCTAAGATTTAGCTCACGCGGATACAGTGTTCTCATCCGCTGCGGCGATGAAATACCTATCCAGTGGGGCCGTTTGGAGTCACCAATCGTTTTGGCATTGACGATTGAGCCTTACGGTATGCGCTTGACAGTGCTTTGGTATTCCTATAGGGTAACGCCTAGCTAGGTGCATGCGCATCGAGTGCTTCCGCCTTGGTGTTTACTTCCGCTGGTCGGAAGGAACGCTAGCAGTCAGGATTCGGGTTGTAGGTGCTCCCCACCGCCTACTGTGGTAGTCAGCCTCGGTATAACAGTGGTAACGTATTACTTAATGTAATTTGTAGAATTTTCCTATTCGGAATATTCTATAAGTAATACGTTACCACTGGGCTGCTGCCCGCCCGTCCATCCCCCGAGCACTTGCTCTCGCAGGAGACAAGAGTGAAGGGTGTCACATGGCAGCTAGGTGGCTACGCACGTGCTGCATGAGGTAATTGAGATCTCTGTGGTAGATTTCGCTATAGCAGCAGTTGTGGGAGACAACAGCCTCGGTATAACAGTGGTAACGTATTACTTATAGAATATTCCGAATAGGAAAATTCTACAAAATTGTTCAACCATTGTATAACTGTGTACAACCATTGTATAACTAAATAATCATTGTATAATTGTACAACCATTGCCTAACTGTGTACAACCATTCTATGACTGTGTACAACCATTCTATGACTGTGTACAACCATTATATAATGGTACAACATTTCAATTCTGTACATGTGAGGTGGACATTTGGATAAATGATATTCACAACTGAAAAATGGTGATATACGAAACTGAGATTGTCACTATTTGAAAATATATATTGTTACTTTTCCTATTCTATCTTACGGTGAGAATGCATGAAGGTTTCAAAGCTTAAGGTGGATGATTTTCAATTAGATCTATTCCCAGATTAGCCATTGGTGATTCTTTCATCTTTGTATGGTTGTTGGGGATGGCCTGAAACCATCGAGGATTGAGAAGACTAAAAAGGACCACATTCCCTATCCTGAAAAATTTAGTTTAGTTAGAATTTAGTTTTCATATATGGAACTATTGGTGTGTTGCAGGCGACCGATGACACAGGACCTCTCTACATAGCTGAAGTATTGATGTATATAACCAAGGAAAGTGCAAAATCTCGTAAAACAACGGACATAAAGCCTTGTCCCAAAGGCCAACGCGGGGAAATGCAGGTATGTCTCAGAGTTAAACAACAGAGGACAATGGGAATAATAGTCATGATATTAATTCTGGGAAGTGTGTGGGGGCGGTCGGGTAGCCTAGTGGTTAAAACATTTATGTCATGCCGAAGACCTAGGTTTGATTCCCGACATGGGTACAATGTGCAAAGCCCATTTCTGGTGTCCCCCGCCGTGATATTGCTGGAAAATGCTAAAAGTAGCGTACTCACTCACTCACTCTGGGAAGTGTGTAATTGTTGACAAGGGATCTTGATACACTACAACCAGACAAACAAGATTAGGACTGATGGTGGGTTGCTTCTGACTAACAGTTCTGTGTGTGCAGGTTGTACCGGTGTTGACGACGCTGATCGAGGGAATCAGTGCGATAAGACTGTACGTCCCACAGGACCTCAAGAGTAACGACAAGAGGCAGAGTGTCTACAAGTCTCTCCAGGTCAGTCTCCACCCCAGGAGAGTCATGTTCTAGCAGACTCTAGTACAGTGGTCCCTCGCTACAACGCTACCAATGGGGTCCAAATAATTGGTGGGCGTTATAGACGATGAGCCGAGGCCGAGGCGGGGGAGCGCGCTCGGCAAATCTCAAATCATCAATATGTGTTTATCTCACGTCACGTCAAAATAGTATATATTTTTATGGACCTAGATCTACCTGTAATATCATTCATTTATTAAATCTGTCACATTTCACAATGTCTGAAATACGTATTCCATTCTAATTTATCATTTTTTATCAATAAATTAAAAAATTATTCACTATTTCCCGCGATGTTATTGAAAATAAAATTCTCGGACACACATTTCGACAACTGGTCCGCATCGAACATGTCAAAGAGCTAAATAAAGACTATTTTAAGCAAATCTTTAAATATATTATACAAAGTGATAAATAAAATCAACAAAAATATATCTAAAAGTAATCTAACTTACATCTAAGTTATTATTTCCATCGTTTCGTGCGATCGCGTGTAATGTAAGTCAAATGACATCTCGGCTTTCGTCGCCTTGAATTCTCGGCTCGGACACAACGTTTAATGCAAAAATATATGCATGAAAAATCTTTGTCACAGCTCGTAACCTAGCACAATACATTCTCGAAGTTCCATATTTTCAATATATATCGTGATTTCCTGCTTAAAACGTTCAGAATAACACGATTTAACAAAAAATCTTTCGCTAACTTCTGAAATTTATCAAACACGAGCTTGGTATCACAGCTATAATTTGATTGTCTGCCTGAGGTCACGTGCTCAAAATTGACCAATCACGAAACTTGTAGCAGATTTCGGCAAGAAAGCGTCATTAGAAACAAATTTTAATCCAATGAAATCGCTTGTTATAACTACGGAAAAAAACCAGGCATGTTACGAAAGCGCGATTACGAAATGAATGACCGCCGTGTTGTGACAGCAACTACATGTGTGTGACAGTTTAGCCTTAAATTGGATTGCCCACTAATTAAGAATATAAACTTTGCTTGTGGTTCTCTTTTATTGCATGCATGCGCTTCTAAGATCAAAGGATGTATAGTGTGAAAAGTTAACTAGTTGAACAATCGTATTTCCGGGACTTTCCGCGGATGTTTTCAAACAGATTATTAGAACTCCATTCAGCGATAAACGGTTGATTATGCAATGAGAAGCGTTATGTGCAAATGAACAACGAACAACAATACAATGATGTCTGTGTAAAACTCTCAGTAATACATGTGTACATAAATTTGGGGAGCCATGTGTTACCGCGCGTAGTAACCGAGGTAGCGCTTTATCGAAGAGCGCAATAGCGAGCGATCACTGTATCTGTAGCAGATAACTCTCCCAGTCAGTGTCCACCCCAGGAGAGTCATGTTCTAGCAGACTCTAGTATCTGTAGCAGAACTCTCCCAGTCAGTGTCCACCCCAGGAGAGTCATGTTCTAGCAGATTCTAGTATCTGTAGCAGAACTCTCCCAGTCAGTGTCCACCCCAGGAGAGTCATGTTCTAGCAGACTCTAGTATCTGTAGCAGATAACTCTCCCAGTCAGTGTCCACCCCAGGAGAGTCATGTTCTAGCAGACTCTAGTATCTGTAGCAGAACTCTCCCAGTCAGTGTCCACCCCAGGAGAGTCATGTTCTAGCAGATTCTAGTATCTGTAGCAGAACTCTCCCAGTCAGTGTCCACCCCAGGAGAGTCATGTTCTAGCAGATTCTAGTATCTGTAGCAGAACTCTCCCAGTCAGTGTCCACCCCAGGAGAGTCATGTTCTAGCAGATTCTAGTATCTGTAGCAGAACTCTCCCAGTCAGTGTCCACCCCAGGAGAGTCATGTTCTAGCAGACTCTAGTATCTGTAGCAGATAACTCTCCCAGTCATGTTCTAGCAGACTCTAGTATCTGTAGCAGATAACTCTCCAAGTCAGTGTCCACCCCAGGAGAGTCATGTTCTAGCAGACTCTAGTATCTGTAGCAGAACTCTCCCAGTCAGTGTCCACCCCAGGAGAGTCATGTTCTAGCAGATTCTAGTATCTGTAGCAGAACTCTCCCAGTCAGTGTCCACCCCAGGAGAGTCATGTTCTAGCAGATTCTAGTATCTGTAGCAGAACTCTCCCAGTCAGTGTCCACCCCAGGAGAGTCATGTTCTAGCAGATTCTAGTATCTGTAGCAGAACTCTCCCAGTCAGTGTCCACCCCAGGAGAGTCATGTTCTAGCAGATTCTAGTATCTGTAGCAGAACTCTCCCAGTCAGTGTCCACCCCAGGAGAGTCATGTTCTAGCAGACTCTAGTATCTGTAGCAGATAACTCTCCCAGTCATGTTCTAGCAGACTCTAGTATCTGTAGCAGATAACTCTCCAAGTCAGTGTCCACCCCAGGAGAGTCATGTTCTAGCAGACTCTAGTATCTGTAGCAGAACTCTCCCAGTCAGTGTCCACCCCAGGAGAGTCATGTTCTAGCAGATTCTAGTATCTGTAGCAGAACTCTCCCAGTCAGTGTCCACCCCAGGAGAGTCATGTTCTAGCAGATTCTAGTATCTGTAGCAGAACTCTCCCAGTCAGTGTCCACCCCAGGAGAGTCATGTTCTAGCAGATTCTAGTATCTGTAGCAGAACTCTCCCAGTCAGTGTCCACCCCAGGAGAGTCATGTTCTAGCAGATTCTAGTATCTGTAGCAGAACTCTCCCAGTCAGTGTCCACCCCAGGAGAGTCATGTTCTAGCAGACTCTAGTATCTGTAGCAGATAACTCTCCCAGTCATGTTCTAGCAGACTCTAGTATCTGTAGCAGATAACTCTCCAAGTCATGTTCTAGCAGACTCTAGTATCTGTAGCAGATAACTCTCCCAGTCATGTTCTAGCAGACTCTAGTATCTGTAGCAGATAACTCTCCCAGTCAGTGTCCACCCCAGGAGAGTCATGTTCTAGCAGACTCTAGTATCTGTAGCAGATAACTCTCCAAGTCATGTTCTAGCAGACTCTAGTATCTGTAGCAGATAACTCTCCAAGTCATGTTCTAGCAGACTCTAGTATCTGTAGCAGATAACTCTCCCAGTCATGTTCTAGCAGACTCTAGTATCTGTAGCAGATAACTCTCCAAGTCATGTTCTAGCAGACTCTAGTATCTGTAGCAGATAACTCTCCCAGTCATGTTCTAGCAGACTCTAGTATCTGTAGCAGATAACTCTCCAAGTCATGTTCTAGCAGACTCTAGTATCTGTAGCAGATAACTCTCCCAGTCAGTGTCCACCCCAGGAGAGTCATGTTCTAGCAGACTCTAGTATCTGTAGCAGATAACTCTCCAAGTCATGTTCTAGCAGACTCTAGTATCTGTAGCAGATAACTCTCCCAGTCATGTTCTAGCAGACTCTAGTATCTGTAGCAGATAACTCTCCAAGTCATGTTCTAGCAGACTCTAGTATCTGTAGCAGATAACTCTCCAAGTCATGTTCTAGCAGACTCTAGTATCTGTAGCAGATAACTCTCCCAGTCATGTTCTAGCAGACTCTAGTATCTGTAGCAGATAACTCTCCAAGTCATGTTCTAGCAGACTCTAGTATCTGTAGCAGATAACTCTCCCAGTCATGTTCTAGCAGACTCTAGTATCTGTAGCAGATAACTCTCCAAGTCATGTTCTAGCAGACTCTAGTATCTGTAGCAGATAACTCTCCCAGTCAGTGTCCACCCCAGGAGAGTCATGTTCTAGCAGACTCTAGTATCTGTAGCAGATAACTCTCCAAGTCATGTTCTAGCAGACTCTAGTATCTGTAGCAGATAACTCTCCCAGTCATGTTCTAGCAGACTCTAGTATCTGTAGCAGATAACTCTCCCAGTCAGTGTCCACCCCAGGAGAGTCATGTTCTAGCAGACTCTAGTATCTGTAGCAGATAACTCTCCCAGTCAGTGTCCACCCCAGGAGAGTCATGTTCTAGCAGACTCTAGTATCTGTAGCAGATAACTCTCCAAGTCATGTTCTAGCAGACTCTAGTATCTGTAGCAGATAACTCTCCAAGTCATGTTCTAGCAGACTCTAGTATCTGTAGCAGATAACTCTCCCAGTCAGTGTCCACCCCAGGAGAGTCATGTTCTAGCAGACTCTAGTATCTGTAGCAGATAACTCTCCAAGTCATGTTCTAGCAGACTCTAGTATCTGTAGCAGATAACTCTCCCAGTCATGTTCTAGCAGACTCTAGTATCTGTAGCAGATAACTCTCCAAGTCATGTTCTAGCAGACTCTAGTATCTGTAGCAGATAACTCTCCCAGTCAGTGTCCACCCCAGGAGAGTCATGTTCTAGCAGACTCTAGTATCTGTAGCAGATAACTCTCCAAGTCATGTTCTAGCAGACTCTAGTATCTGTAGCAGATAACTCTCCCAGTCAGTGTCCACCCCAGGAGAGTCATGTTCTAGTAGACTCTGGTATCTGTAGCAAATAGCTTTCACTTGTCTTGACTCATTGTTAGAACGTTGGGTCATTGTAGGAGGTGGAGAAGCGCTTCCCTGATGGCTTACCTCCCCTTGACCCTATAGAGGATATGGGCATCAAGGACAAGAAGCTACAGGAAATCATCAAGGTGGGTGTACCATTATCCCAGTCAGAACCATGCCACTCATCTCCAAGCAACACACACACTAATCCTTAGATTCTTTGTTGAATTCTTGTCAGTATTGATTCTTGTTTATTGGTTCTTGCCCTCAAGAAAGTCAAATTTATTCTGTAACCCTATTATTTATTTATTTTATTAATCATCTTCAGCAACCTTACATACTTTTTCTTTGCAGAAAACCGAAGCCTTTGAACATCGTTTATACTCTCATCCACTCCATAAGGATGCCCAGTTAGAGGAGCTGTATTCCTTGTATGACAGGAAGTCTCGGGTAGGTGGGGTGTTGCTGTATTCCTTGTATGACAGGAAGTGTTGGGTAGGTGGGGTGTTGCTGTGTTCCTTGTATGACAGGAAGTCTCGGGTAGGTGGGGTGTTGCTGCATCCTTGTATGACAGGAAGTGTTGGGTAGATGGGGTGTTGCTGTATTCCTTGTATGACAGGAAGTGTTGGGTAGGTGGGGTGTTGCTGTATTCCTTGTATGACAGGAAGTGTTGGGTAGGTGGGGTGTTGCTGTATTCCTTGTATGACAGGAAGTGTTGGGTAGGTGGGGTTTTGATGTATTCCTTGTATGACAGGAAGTCTCGGGTAGGTGGGGTGTGCTGTATTCCTTGTATGACAGGAAGTGTTGGGTAGGTGGGGTGTTGCTGTATTCCTTGTATGACAGGAAGTCTCGGGTAGGTGGGGCGTTGCTGTATTCCTTGTATGACAGGAAGTCTCGGGTAGGTGGGGTGTTGCTGTATTCCTTGTATGACAGGAAGTCTCGGGTAGGTGGGGTGTTGCTGTATTCCTTGTATGACAGGAAGTGTTGGGTAGGTGGGGTGTTGCTGTATTCCTTGTATGACAGGAAGTGTTGGGTAGGTGGGGTTTTGATGTATTCCTTGTATGACAGGAAGTGTTGGGTAGATGGGGTGTTGCTGTATTCCTTGTATGACAGGAAGTCTTGGGTAGGTGGGGTGTTGCTGTATTCCTTGTATGACAGGAAGTCTCAGGTAGGTGGGGCGTTGCTGTATTCCTTGTATGACAGGAAGTCTTGGGTAGGTGGGGTGTTGCTGTATTCCTTGTATGACAGGAAGTGTTGGGTAGGTGGGGTGTTGCTGTATTCCTTGTATGACAGGAAGTGTTGGGTAGGTGGGGTGTTGCTGTATTCCTTGTATGACAGGAAGTCTCAGGTAGGTGGGGTGTTGCTGTATTCCTTGTATGACAGGAAGTGTTGGGTAGGTGGGGTGTTGCTGTATTCCTTGTATGACAGGAAGTGTCGGGTAGGTGGGGTGTTGCTGTATTCCTTGTATGACAGGAAGTGTTGGGTAGGTGGGGTGTTGCTGTATTCCTTGTATGACAGGAAGTGTTGGGTAGATGGGGTGTTGCTGTATTCCTTGTATGACAGGAAGTGTCGGGTAGTTGGGGTGTTGCTGTATTCCTTGTATGACAGAAAGTCTCAGGTAGGTGGGGTGTTGCTGTATTCCTTGTATGACAGGAAGTGTTGGGTAGGTGGGGCGTTGCTGTATTCCTTGTATGACAGGAAGTGTTGGGTAGGTGGGGTGTTGCTGTATTCTTTGTATGACAGGAAGTGTTGGGTAGGTGGGGCGTTGCTGTATTCCTTGTATGACAGGAAGTGTTGGGTAGGTGGGGTGTTGCTGTATTCCTTGTATGACGGGAAGTGTTGGGTAGGTGGGGCGTTGCTGTATTCCTTGTATGACAGGAAGTCTCAGGTAGGTGGGGTGTTGCTGTATTCCTTGTATGACAGGAAGTGTTGGGTAGGTGGGGTGTTGCTGTATTCCTTGTATGACAGGAAGTGTTGGGTAGGTGGGGCGTTGCTGTATTCCTTGTATGACAGGAAGTCTCAGGTAGGTGGGGTGTTGCTGTATTCCTTGTATGACAGGAAGTCTCAGGTAGGTGGGGTGTTGCTGTATTCCTTGTATGACAGGAAGTGTTGGGTAGATGGGGTGTTGCTGTATTCCTTGTATGACAGGAAGTCTCAGGTAGGTGGGGTGTTGCTGTATTCCTTGTATGACAGGAAGTCTCAGGTAGGTGGGGTGTTGCTGTATTCCTTGTATGACAGGAAGTCTCAGGTAGGTGGGGTGTTGCTGTATTCCTTGTATGACAGGAAGTGTTGGGTAGGTGGGGTGTTGCTGTATTCCTTGTATGACAGGAAGTGTTGGGTAGGTGGGGTGTTGCTGTATTCCTTGTATGACAGGAAGTGTTGGGTAGGTGGGGTGTTGCTGTATTCCTTGTATGACAGGAAGTGTTGGGTAGGTGGGGTGTTGCTGTATTCCTTGTATGACAGGAAGTCTCAGGTAGGTGGGTTGTGCTGTATTCCTTGTATGACAGGAAGTCTCAGGTAGGTGGGGTGTTGCTGTATTCCTTGTATGACAGGAAGTCTCAGGTAGGTGGGGTGTTGCTGTATTCCTTGTATGACAGGAAGTCTCAGGTAGGTGGGGTGTTGCTGTATTCCTTGTATGACAGGAAGTGTTGGGTAGGTGGGGTGTTGCTGTATTCCTTGTATGACAGGAAGTGTTGGGTAGGTGGGGTGTTGCTGTATTCCTTGTATGACAGGAAGTGTTGGGTAGGTGGGGTGTTGCTGTATTCCTTGTATGACAGGAAGTGTTGGGTAGGTGGGGTGTTGCTGTATTCCTTGTATGACAGGAAGTCTCAGGTAGGTGGGTTGTGCTGTATTCCTTGTATGACAGGAAGTCTCAGGTAGGTGGGGCGTTGCTGTATTCCTTGTATGACAGGAAGTGTTGGGTAGGTGGGGTGTTGCTGTATTCCTTGTATGACAGGAAGTGTTGGGTAGGTGGGGTGTTGCTGTATTCCTTGTATGACAGGAAGTCTCAGGTAGGTGGGTTGTGCTGTATTCCTTGTATGACAGGAAGTCTCAGGTAGGTGGGGCGTTGCTGTATTCCTTGTATGACAGGAAGTGTTGGGTAGGTGGGGTGTTGCTGTATTCCTTGTATGACAGGAAGTGTTGGGTAGGTGGGGTGTTGCTGTATTCCTTGTATGACAGGAAGTGTTGGGTAGATGGGGTGTTGCTGTATTCCTTGTATGACAGGAAGTGTTGGGTAGGTGGTAGGCACTCTATTATGTGTCAAACAGGTGACTGAGTTGTGTGGGGATGGTAAGGCTTGGTAATTTGCCTTATTGCATGGCACCTCAAGGGTGTGGGGTGTTGCATCACTAGTTTGTGTGACCAAGACTCAAGTATTTACAGGTTGCTGTTAAATTGCGGGAATATAGATTACTACAGCGTTAACAACAAACAATCAAAGACACAAGATGTGTTGGGCAGTATATATTCTGGAGTACTTATCTTCCAGCTCGGTAACGAGGTGAAGGCCATCAAATCTGAGCTGAAGAAGAAGAAGTCCCTGCTGCAGATGGACGAACTCAAGTGTCGGAAACGCGTTCTCCGGAGAATGGGGTATGCAACCAGCTCTGACGTCATCGAGATCAAAGGCCGGGTGGCGTGTGAGATTAGCAGGTAGGTAACTGGGGCCTTGTTTCCTTGATGTACAATAACAGCCATGTTCATCCAGCGGACTACAGGGTGTTCAGGAATCACCTTCCATGTTATATGTCCAGTGAAGCCTTGTCAGTTCGTAGTCCTTTATACCACAAGAAGAGTGAACGCCAACATATCTAGCTATCAGTTGTGTGACTCTCCTCCAGTGCTGACGAGCAAGTAACATATCTAACCATCAGTTGCGTGACTCTCCTCCAGTGCTAACGAGCAAGTATTTGTGCAGAGACTATTTTCACCAACATATCTAACTAACTGCATGACTCTCCTCCAGTGCGGACGAGCTGCTGCTGACAGAGCTGTTGTTTAATGGTGTCTTCAACAACCTGACCGAGCAGCAGTCCTGTGCCCTCCTCAGCTGCTTCGTGTTCCAGGAGAACTCCAACGAGATGCCCAAACTGACCGAGGAGCTCTCCGGGCCGCTGCGTATCATGCAGGTAAGGAACCCTGTAGTTAATGGGTCGGCATTCCACGCCGCTTTTCTTTGATAGAATCTCTCAGGTGATGAAGCAAATTTGCATTGTAGGCACCAGTTATCATCTCTTCACTTTCAAAGTAATCTACAAGGATCACATCCTTGTCATCCCAGAATAGGGGTGGTCGGGTGGCCTAGTGATTAAAGCATTCGCTCGTCATGCGGAAGACCCGGGTTCGATTCCCAACATGGGTACAACGTGTGAAGCCCATTTCTAGTGTCCCCCGCCATAACTTTCTTCACTGATCTTGAAGACTTGAATTCTTTGGTGCGGGAGAAGTAGAATGGTGCCTTTCCATGGATTGATGTTTTGACTCAGGATCAGACTGGTAGACCTACGTTTCATCACCTGTTACTAACCTCTTTTTGAATTTGATGAAATCCAGCTCAATTAGCTCTTAATTTTCTCTGGCAATGTTAGTTCTTGTTTCCTTAGTTAAGGGGACATGGCCCGACATCCTGGGAGTATCTCTGTGATATGAGTGTAAGCATGGTGTCATATGGCTTGTTGTGACTTGCAGGACACCGGGCCTGACATCCTGGGAGTATCTCTCTTATATGAGTGTAAGCATGGTGTCATATGGCTTGTTGTGACTTGCAGGACACCGGGCCTGACATCCTGGGAGTATCTCTGTGATATGAGTGTAAGCATGCTGTCATATGGCTTGTTGTGACTTGCAGGACACCGGGCCTGACATCCTGGGAGTATCTCTGTGATATGAGTGTAAGCATGGTGTCATATGGCTTGTTGTGACTTGCAGGACACCGCTCGGCGTATCGCCCGGGTCAGTCGGGAGGCCAAGCTGGAGCACCTGGAGGAGGAGGCTTACGCCGAGGCATTCCGCCCTCACATGATGGACGTTGTCAACGCTTGGTGTAACGGATCAACATTTGCCCAGTTGTGTAAAATGACCGACATCTTTGAAGGTGAGAATGATAGTCCATGTTCTTCAGAGCTAGCAGGTGTTAATGAAATCTAGGCAATGAAGCTGCCATGTAATTCTAAAGCACACTTGCTGTGTTCATTTGAAAAGATACTGTATGAAAAATTTGTTACAGGAAATAATATCAGGTGTGTGTGTGTGTGTGTGTGTGTGTGTGTGTGTGTGTGTGTGTGTGTGTGTGTGTGTGTGTGTGTGTGTGTGTGTGTGTGTGTGTGTGTGTGTGTGTGTGTGTGTGTGTGTGTGTGTGTGTGTGTGTGTGTGTGTGTGTTAGATTTGTTAGAGACAGTATATTTGGGTGTATATATACTGTGTGATATACATGTAACCGTAGTTACAGGCAGTATGAGGTGTGTAAAAAAATACATCTTACCATGGTTACAGGTGTTATAATGAGGTGTATATATACATGATAGATACATTTCCATGGTTACAGGTAGTATATTCAGGAGTATGTATACTGTATGATATACATGTTACCATGGCTACAGACAGTATTATCAGGTGTATATATACTGCATGTTACATGTTACCATGGTTTCAGGTAGTATAGCCAGGTGTATATATACTGCATGATACATGTTACAATGGTTACATGTAGTTTAATCAGGTGTATATATACATGTCGCTATGGTTACAGGCAGTATATTAAGGTGTATGTATTCTATATGATATACGGGGGCGGTCGGGTAGCATAGTGGTTAAAGCTTTCGCTCGTCACGCCGAAGACCCGGGTTCGATTCCCGACATGGGTACAATGTGTGAAGCCCATTTCTGGTGTCCCCCGCCGTGATATTGCTGGAATATTGCTAAAAGCGGCGTAAAACCGTACTCACTCACTCACTATATGATATACATGTTACCAAGGTTATGGGCAGTATAATCAGGTGTATAAATACTGCATGATACACGTTTCCATGGTTACAGGTAGTATAATCAGGTGTATGCGGAGGCTGGAGGAACTACTCAGACAGATGGTGCAGGCAGCTAAAGCCATCGGAAACACGGAGCTTGAAAACAAGTTCTCAGAAGGTATGCATGGTTGATATATCATACCTAGTGTCTGCATCTGTTGAGAACGCATTATCAATCTTTGGTCAAAAATCAGTCCAAAGATGCAAAACATTGTTAACCTGCCAAATATGAAATATTGCTTCTTTATTGCCATTTTTTAATACTTATCTTACTTCACAAGTGAAAAGCCCCATAAAGATTCCGGGGTAGAATAGGTCTACAGTAACCCATGCTTGCCGTAAAAGGCGACTATGCTTGTCGTAAAAGGCGACTAACGGGATCGGGTGGTCAGGCTTGCTGACTTGGTTGATGCATGTCATTGATCCCAATTGCATGGATCGATGCTCATGATATCAATCACTGGATTGTCTGGTCCAGACTCAATTATTTACAGACCGCCGTCATATAGCTGGAATATTGCTGAGTGCGGTGTTAAACAACAAACCAACCAAATCACAAGTGAAAATATGTGTGTTATTCTGAAGAAAGTATTGAACTGGAAAACTATGAGTTATTACTGCCATATTATTGAAGACATTTACACACAATCACTGCAGTGGGGAAGTGTAACATCATTGGTTTCAATGTGACACTGGAACTGACAGAAGGGAACATTTAACATGGTGTACGGGTCAAGGATGGATCAGGTCCGGAGACAGACTTCATGGCTTGTTCCGAGGTGGAGAATGAAAGGGATTATTTGATTATATCTATATTTCGTGTTGGTAGTGTATCGTGTGTGGGTCAGTGCACAGAAGGTGATCTTCAAAGTTGTGATGGGACTATGAGTTGGTGACCATGGTAATTGTCCTTTTACATTTCTTCCTTTCAGCGATCAGGAGAATCAAGAGGGATATTGTATTTGCTGCTAGTCTGTACTTATAGTAGCAAGTGCTTGCTGTCGGACACACCAAGCAGCCCACAAGCTCCTCACAGGGATTGCCTGTTCCTGGATCTCTCTATACCATCAGGGCCACTAGTCAAAACTCCCCACTCTGCTAAGTGCCACAACCATGCATGGAGTTGACCATGCCACGGACCGATTGTTGTGTTTACAAACAAGTGATGGCTGTCATGATGCCAAATATTCTTCAACCAGCTAAATTATTTTCTTTGTTTTTCATTTTGAATTTTGAATTCTTACAGTAAGAATGTAAGGGAAGTTTGGTGGGTTTTTTTTCCGTTAGTGTACAATCTCAAACCAATCTGATTAAACAAACAACATGAATTCATCTGGGAAATAGTGAGCCAGGCATAAACCTTTTCAAAATTCACTTTGATGTCTTTCCCAAAGACATACACAAAATTATACATGTCAATACATGTGAGGTTAGAAATTGTTTAAGATTATTGTATAGGCTGCTTTCTGTTAGTGGCAGCGATAATAGCGATGATACCGGGAGGGTAATAATGCACTAGGGTGGAGCTTAAGGAGCCCCACTGTGAGGGGAGGTAACTCTTGTGTTACCATGGAAAGACGGGACAGTGTTTATTGTGTTCATTGGTCTGTGAGTGGCGTTCTGGACAGTGGCGTTCCGGACAGTGGCGTTCCGGACAGTGGCGTTCCTGACAGTGGCGTTCCGGACAGTGGCACGGTAGTCTTGGATTCATGAGATGGCAGAGATTCTCATACGTGGAAATATACCTGTATGAGATGCTTTCTAAGATGAAGGGGATATTGAGAGTATCCAGAATTGAAATAATAATTGGCTGTCTTGTGACATTGTAATGTAAACGATGTAGTTCTTTTGTAGACCTTGTGAAAAGAAATGTCAAAGAATTCAGTGTTGTAATTTGAAAATAAGTACATTGTCTAGCATTGTGACAACAAAAATCTATTTGATAAATAGTGATTTGTTAGCATGCTACTAATAGTTCTACTCTTGGTTAGTATATTACATGCAGAAATGTAAGCATTGTGTTGGAGCTTGCCAGCTGGAGGGACACATGGCATGTACACGTTCAGCTTAAAACTTCCTGTTCATATGTAAATGTCATGTTCATTTCACTCAGACAAATGATTCACCGTACACTGTTGTGTACATCCTTGTAAATAATGTAAATACATTATTCTGTAAAAAATGTCAATAAATCGGAATCAGACTGACTCCTTTTGATTTCACATGATGCTGATGATGCTTGTATCAATGTAATGCTGATGATGCTTGTATCAATGTAATGCTGATGATGCTTGTATCAATGTAATGCTGGTGATGCTTGTATCAATGTAATGCTGATGATGCTTGTATCAATGTAATGCTGGTGATGCTTGTATCAATGTAATGCTGGTGATGCTTGTATCAATGTAATGCTGGTGATGCTTGTATCAATGTAATGCTGGTGATGCTTGTATCAATGTAATGCTGGTGATGCTTGTATCAATGTAATGCTGATGATGCTTGTATCAATGTAATGCTGATGATGCTTGTATCAATGTAATGCTGATGATGCTTGTATCAATGTAATGCTGATGATGCTTGTATCAATGTAATGCTGGTGATGCTTGTATCAATGTAATGCTGGTGATGCTTGTATCAATGTAATGCTGGTGATGCTTGTATCAATGTAATGCTGGTGATGCTTGTATCAATGTAATGCTGATGATGCTTGTATCAATGTAATGCTGGTGATGCTTGTATCAATGTAATGCTGATGATGCTTGTATCAATGTAATGCTGATGATGCTTGTATCAATGTAATGCTGGTGATGCTTGTATCAATGTAATGCTGATGATGCTTGTATCAATGTAATGCTGGTGATGCTTGTATCAATGTAATGCTGATGATGCTTGTATCAATGTAATGCTGGTGATGCTTGTATCAATGTAATGCTGATGATGCTTGTATCAATGTAATGCTGGTGATGCTTGTATCAATGTAATGCTGATGATGCTTGTATCAATGTAATGCTGATGATAGGAAAATGTAGTCTCAGTGAGCGGATGGCTAGGTGGGTGCATCCGTGCGTCCATGCATGCATCTGTGCATCCGTGCGTTTGTTTAGCGCAGCACTCAGCAATATTCCATCCATATGATGGCGGTCTGTAAAGAATTGAGTCTGGACCAGACAATCAAGTGATTGACATCATGAGCATCGATCCACACAATTTGGATGCGATGACATGCATCAACGAAGTTAGCGTGCCTGCCCACCCGATCCCGTTATGACAAGCAGCGTAATGGTTTAATCTGTGAGGAAGCTGAAACTGATGCATGTCATAAACAATTTCCACTTTGATGAAACCAGTGAGCATGGGGAGGATATACCAAGGCTCCGAATCTTAGATTAGAACACCAGTGGGTCCAGACAGCTGTGAGACACAGACGTGTGTGTCATCAGTTCTGCATGGACTATATGTTTGAACAGACTGATAAATAAACACAATGACAATAGTATTTTATTGTTCAAGCCATATATAACATGACATGAGGTTGATTAACCAAACATGTTACATGACATACAGTTGGCATGTAGTCTAAATACAGAGACACACCCCTCGTCCATATTTGGAGCTGTCATAACAGCATCAGAAAATGATAGTCTAGATTAGTATATGTTTAATGTTGCTACTAGTGTATGAAGGCAGTGCTATCAGCTGTTGATGGCCTGCAGACTGCAGTGTCTTCGCTCCACACTATCAGGACCTACACCAGAACTATCAGGGTGCCCACAGACTTTTTAGTCTCTGGTGTTTCCCGCGAAGACATCGGGGGCAAATTCAACCATAACTGATGGATTTGAGATATTGGCTTCTAATATAGTCACTATTTAACAATGAAATCTTTTTGTTATAAAGCACGTAAAGTTCATATAAGGTAAAAATACATAACAGCAAATATTGTATATTATCAACAGATTATTACCAAGACTCTGAAGACTTTCTCAGCATACCGAAATACAGCTGAGCACATTGTTTTTGAATGCATTAACATATTTGCCTACAAATTCCCTGCACTTGAACTCAGCTGAACTGTGTGACACCTCACACCTGTTGACACCTGTTGTTAACAACTTGACATTCAGATGATTTGCAAGCAATCCATGACAAGCATCACTTTCACCATGGTTACTCTGTTAAGAAACAGCTGTAAATCATTCACAGGATCTAACACATGGATTTCCTTAATGTGCACTCAGAATATAATAATGGTACATGTTAGAGATGCTACTTAATCTTGTATAAAGTATACATGTCAATTTGCCTTGAAAGTTAATTGGATGATTGATGAATATGATTTCAAAATACGGGAGGTGATGACATATTAATAAATAGCCTCCTCACAACCTTTGCCCCTGATTGGCTGAGAGCAGGGTGACTGTGCTATAGCCTCCTCACAACCCTTGCCCCTGATTGGCTGAGAGCAGGGTGTCTGTGCTATAGCCTCATAACCCTTGCAGCTGATTGGCTGAGAGCAGGGTGTCTGTGCTATAGCCTGCTTATACCCTTGCAGCTGATTGGCTGAGAGCAGGGTGTCTGTGCTATAGCCTCATAACCCTTACAGCTGATTGGCTGAGAGCAGGGTGTCTGTGCTATAGCCTCATAACCCTTGCAGCTGATTGGCTGAGAGCAGGGTGTCTGTGCTATAGCCTGCTTATACCCTTGCAGCTGATTGGCTGAGAGCAGGGTGTCTGTGCTATAGCCTCATAACCCTTGCAGCTGATTGGCTGAGAGCAGGGTGTCTGTGCTATAGCCTCATAACCCTTGCAGCTGATTGGCTGAGAGCAGGGTGTCTGTGCTATAGCCTGCTTATACCCTTGCAGCTGATTGGCTGAGAGCAGGGTGTCTGTGCTATAGCCTCCTCACAACCCTTGCCCCTGATTGGCTGAGAGCAGGTGTCTGTGCTATAGCCTCCTTATAACCCTTGCCCCTGATTGGCTGAGAGCAGGGTGTCTGTGCTATAGCCTCATAACCCTTGCAGCTGATTGGCTGAGAGCAGGGTGTCTGTGCTATAGCCTCCTCACAATCCTTGCCCCTGATTGGCTGAGAGCAGGGCGTCTGTGCTATAGCCTCATAACCCTTGCAGCTGATTGGCTGAGAGCAGGGTGTCTGTGCTATAGCCTCCTCACAACCCTTGCCCCTGATTGGCTGAGAGCAGGGTGTCTGTGCTATAGCCTCATAATCCTTGCAGCTGAGAGCAGGGTGTCTGTGCTATAGCCTGCTTATACCCTTACAGCTGATTGGCTGAGAGCAGGGTGTCTGTGCTATAGCCTCATAACCCTTGCAGCTGATTGGCTGAGAGCAGGGTGTCTGTGCTTTAGCCTCATAACCCTTGCAGCTGATTGGCTGAGAGCAGGGTGTCTGTGCTATAGCCTCATAACCCTTGCAGCTGATTGGCTGAGAGCAGGGTGTCTGTGCTATAGCCTCATAACCCTTGCTGTTGATTGGCTGAGAGCAAGTGTCTCTGCTATAACAAATGTCATACTGAAACAAGATTAATAGCAGGCTGCAAATCATTATATACTGTATAAAAAAAGTGTTACTAAATATTACTAAGATAGGATAAATGTTGCTAACAAATCCATAACAAACATGAGCATAACAATCACAGGTGTTGAATCACAGGTGAGCTAAGAGAATGATATGCTGTATGGATGCTGATGAGAAATGGCATGTACATGTCCAGATTTCTGACATGCATGTATTGATCTCTGGCTCAACAAGACATCAGCAAGACGTAGCCATTGGTTACACACACTACCTGAGCAAAACATGGTGTTTCAGCCACAAGAGATTGGTTGGACCCCCCACCCCTTCCAACAACAATCACCGATCGCATTTAGCAGCTGAAGCATTGATGAAGACTTTAGCAGCTGATGCATTGCTGAAGACTTTAGCAGCTGAAGCATTGATGAAGACTTTAGCAGCTGAAGCATCAATGAAGACTTTAGCAGCTGAAGTATCGATGAAGACTTTAGCAGCTGAATCATCCATGACGACCCTAGCAGCTGAAGCATCCATGACGACTTTAGCAGCTGAAGCATCCATGACGACCCTAGCAGCTGAAGCATCCATGACGACCCTAGCAGCTGAAGCATCGATGAAGACTTTAGCAGCTGAAGCATCGATGAAGACTTTAGCAGCTGAAGCATCGATGAAGACTTTAGCAGCTGAGGCATCGATGAAGCATTTAGCAGCTGAAGTATCCATGAAGACTTTAGCAGCTGAAGCATCCATGAAGACTTTAGCAGCTGAAGCATCCATGAAGACTTTAGCAGCTGAAGCATCGATGAAGACCTATCTTATTAAAATCAGATCTTAGTTTTCGCTACCTCTAACAAAGATCTGGGGACATCCCATTGCCGGTCATGTCAGAACGATCATTCATCTGACCAATCAGAGCATAGCTTAGCAGATCATGAAAGTGACAGTTGGAATGTGATTTTGTATCGTGAAACCTTGAAAACATCACACACCGGGTATTCTGAACGACAGTTGTAGGCTTTATGACTGTATTCATACAATCTAGACCATCTATTAGCCATTCCAGAATGTTCTTTTGTTCAGGTTTTAATTTTTTAATCAAGTATATATCAAAATATGTTTCCAGTCGCTGGTTTGAAACTCGTGCCGTAAAGCTTGATTAAGCTGCCTTCTGAATTGCTATTGCCGACTTATTGTTAGTTATTCCATTGGTCGGTCAAAGTTTGCGAAAGTTCGGTCTGAGGTAACCCCTAATGGGAAGTCTTCAGATCTTTGTTTAGCAGTAGCGAGAACTAAGATCTGATTTTAATGAGAATGGATGAAGACATGATTAACTTGAGGATCCAACTTATTATTTCTACTTTGACTGCAACCTTTTTTATGCAGTTACTTGGACGTCATCAAGTATTAGTGCATTCCAGGACTCAGTTCTCTGTGACATGATTGTATGATACTGAATCGGTTCCATCTTGTTGTACACTTGCCACAAATCGGCAAAGTTCTGGTGGGCTGAAACTTGACTGTGGGGTGACTTGAAACAGTACTCTCACTCCACTATCCAGGCAATTGTACAGACGCTCATAGCTTCTTGATAATATCTTAATGTCACCATAGAAAATAAATAGAAACATCTATAATGGCGTCCTTGAAAAACACATACTGATCTGAGAAACGTGCATCAAGAACAAGTCCTGTACTGGCCACATGTCGGCCATTGGCCAACAAGAAACAGCACTCATGGCTCCCTTTCCACCAAAGTCTGGAACTGAAACTGTCAAGCCAGTCCTACACAGCTGACATTCATGTATACTCTCAACGTACATCCACATGATATGTACCTACACCCGGCTTACATCTTTGCATATATGTTGTCAACTGTCAACCTTAGTCAACCAATGTCAACCACAGTCAAGCACCATCAAGCCTCTCTGTGAGCACAAGATGCCAGTATATAGGAATTATGCCATGCTCTGGACAGAGTTGGCCGTTAATGCCAGTATAAAATGCCAGGATTTATCAGAATTATGCGATGCTGCTGGGTCTGTTGTTGATGTTCAGTGTCCGTCCAAGGCCTTCAGGAATCTGGATTCGATGACACGTGGTACCAATTTATGTCTGTAAAGCAAAATTATTTTTATTTTGTATTAAATATTCAATGTGTTGTGATTGTGTTATTTGATTGTCTACAAGACGTACATCATGTTGGCAAGATATTGTTTCATCTGCTGGATCAATAGGGAGTCCTGGGTGGAATCAGTTCCCAGATCCCCAAACATCTACCAATCAGGATCAGGTGTCATGATGTGTGACTGACGCTCATGGTATCAACCATTGGTTTTACTGACCTAGATTCATACTGCCCTGCACAAGTGGAAAATGCTGTCTCACTTGAGCAGCATTATCCTGTCTCACATGAGGGCTATTAGAATGATTCACCTGAGACTATGACTCGCTTGAGGGATACCACTGACTTACCTGGGGGGCACTGTGATTCACCTGGGACTATGACTCGCTTGGGGGATACTACTGACTCACCTGGGGGGCGCTATGATTCACCTGAGACTATGACTCGCTTGGGGGATACTACTGACTCACCTGGGGGGCACTGTGATTCACCTGGGACTATGACTCGCTTGGGGGATACTACTGACTCACCTGGGGGGCGCTATGATTCACCTGAGACTATGACTCGCTTGGGGGATACTACTGACTCACCTGGGGGGCGCTATGATTCACCTGAGACTATGACTCGCTTGGGGGATACTACTGACTCACCTGGGGGGCGCTATGATTCACCTGAGACTATGACTCGCTTGGGGGATACTACTGACTCACCTGGGGGGCACTGTGATTCACCTGGGACTATGACTTGCTTGGGGGATACTACTGACTCACCTGGGGGGCACTGTGATTCACCTGGGACTATGACTCGCTTGGGGGATACTACTGACTCACCTGGGGGGCACTGTGATTCACCTGGGGGGCACTGTGACTCACCTGGGGGGCACTGTGATTCACCTGGGGGGCACTGTGACTCACCTGGGGGGCACTATGATTCACCTGGGGCTTGTTTGTGTGACGTACCTGATAGGCATGAGGAACATGAGGAGCACGGGGAAGAGCATCTTCATGTAAGCGATGGGGGAGAAGCCGAACACGCACAGGACGAGGAGCTGGATCAGCTGGATGCCCGTGAAGGTGTGGATCTTCCGCTGGGGGACACGGCGGATGTAGTGGTTCGGGGGGTACGCGGCCTGAAACCCACAGGTGGAAACTGTCAGATATTTGGGGCACGACCAAATAACAACAAAAAGCCTGTAATGGCGTCATCCACATACACTGATGACAACACGCATGACATTATATAGGTTATAACACACAGTAGGCGAGGCACTGCAGTGATGTAAACAATACCACATGCTTCTACAGCACTCAGCAGCAGGCAGTAATACAAATACTACACTTCTCCCAACCTAGCTAGGAAGTACCGCACAAAATGTTATGAATGCACTTCAACTGAAAAGCAACTAGGCTTGAGCAATAATGAACTATTTAACCCAAACTATGGGGACTATACCAGCGCCACATGTACAATGGCTTGCAGCACTTGTGTATGTACAACAGTCCATGTTTTAGGTCGTAACCACTCCAAGTCACTTCAGTTTCCTGTAGTCATGGAGACAATTAACCTGCACTGGTGTAGCACCGCTCAGCACACTGCGAAATGACATTTCAGCAACATACAGAAGATTCTGTTAAAGAGGTCTCACTGTCCTTTCCTAACATTTAGAGAGTTTTAAATACAAGTTATACAAAGTAAGAACTGGTTTGCAAACTGAATTGGAAATATAAAAAAAGATATCTATAATGATATATACACACCTGTTCTGTAAACAGCAGCTGAATCCTCTCAAAGAACTGGTTGCCATAGAGAGCAGAGATGGCCACAAACAGGAAGAGGCCGTCCAGAACGGCTCGTGGAATGTACGACAACGGCATTGGCAGCATCAACACTGACAGCCCAATCAAGACGTGGGAGATGATCCCTGTCAGTCGCGTCTCGCGCACATGGACGACACTGAAACATATCAACAGGCTGTGGTCAGGCCACACTTTGTTTCATTTACGACTTACATATTTATGTTACTTACAGTCAGCTCCGATAGATATAACTCCAAGTGAAAACAAAATATTTTGTTCAATATTTGTGACCAATCATGAGATGAGGTACCGTATGGGTGAAAAATCCCATTTTGACTTTTCATCATATTTTAAAACTACAGTATGTTAGGACCACAAAAATACATTTGATAAGCTTCAATTCATATTTATTAAAAAGTGATATGGCATCAAACATTTGGACTCATTTTCAGCAAATTCCCATGTTCAGGCTTATTACTGTTTCTGTAATCATTGCAGTTTTTACATATAATGTAAAACAGTTGTAAGAAAGTAGATATGGGTGCTGAAATGTTTTGAAATAATGTTTTTTTACATTATGAACTAGCGAGAGATAAATACAATACATTTTTTACAGTTACACATGGCGATTTTTACAGAAGTAAGTTGACGTCAAAAGTCTTTCTTTATGATGTCGCAACACAATCGTATCCTAGCACCTATTAGGGCCCTTTTCTCCTTTTCACATATTTTATTTGATCTGATTTTGTGTGGAAGTGTTTTTAGGATGGAGTGAGTGTTCTGTCTGTACAGTATAAAGCATTCCATTCCGACTGTGAAGAGGTCTCTCAGTGGAACATATGCTGTCCAGAGATGATATGAAGGATGAAGGAAAATTCAGTGCTCTTCACCAAAAAGATGGAGATAATTTTTTTTTTTTAACTCTTTATACAATCTGACTGAGATAAAAAAATCCAAATTATCTCCATGTTTTTGGTGAAGAGTACTGAATCTTCCTTTAAGCTGAAACTTCTGTTTTTGTTTTCCTCTTCCTTATCGCATCATTTTAACATTCAAAATATGAGGAAGTCTTGAATTACTTCCTGCATGAATATCATGAAAATACACCGATCTTCAAAACTGAAACCACCTGCTAACTACTCCCTTCAAACTATTCACAACAACACTAATGAAATACTCCTGTCATATGGGGTTTTGTTCACTGTTTGACACTGCTTGCACCAATATTCCAGCTACATGACTGTGGTCTATAAATAATCATGTCTGGACCAGACAATCGATCCATCATGTTTCTACCAAACAATTCACCTGACATCCAATCCATGAAGTCGTCTCTGACAAAGGTAAAGAGTACATGTCTATGTATTTTTAGTTTTAATGCAATGTCTAGACTTGAGTCAAGTCTACCTACGTCTGTGCAATGTGTCCCCGTTCGACCCTCTCCTCCACGTCAGCGAGGGCACGCACATGGAGGGGCGAGTGAGGCAGAGCGGCGTGCACCCAGGGGAGGGTGAAGACGGAGAGGAAGGCGTTGATGAGGGCCACAACAAACAGATCCCAGTGGTAGGCAGCACCTTTCTTCAACCTGGAGGAACCAAGGAGAGTAATCACTACAGACAACTAGCAGCAGAATGAGACTCGATAACATAATTCTTTTAATTATCATGTGTATGGAAATCTAAGCACTGAAACAGAGTGAGTGAGTATAGTTTGACGCTACTTTCAGCAATATGCAAGCAATATCACGGCGAGGACACCAGAAATGGGCTTCACACATTGTACCCATGTGTGGAATCGAAACCTGGGTTTTGGCGTGACGAGCGACGCTTTAACCACAAGGCTACCCCACTGCCCCACTGAAACAGGTCAGACAGTGTTTTGTGTTTTGTTGTAATAAACCAATAATGTTGACGAAGGCTTGTGACATCGTAACTTATTTGTTGGGTGTGTTGACGAGGGTGTGTGACATGTAACTTAGTGTGTCAGACAGTGTTTTGTTGTAATAAACCAATAATGTTGACGAAGGCTTGTGACATCGTAACTTATTTGTTGGGTGTGTTGACGAGGGTGTGTGACATCGTAACTTTCTTGTTGGGTGTGTTGACGAGGGTGTGTGACATTGTAACTTATTTGTTGGGTGTGTTGACGAGGGTGTGTGACATCGTAACTAACTTGTTGGGTGTGTTGACGAGGGTGTGTGACATCGTAACTAACTTGTTGGGTGTGTTGACGAGGGTGTGTGACATCGTAACTAACTTGTTGGGTGTGTTGATGAGGGTGTGTGACATCGTAACTTACTTGTTGGGTGTGTTGATGAGGGTGTGTGACATCGTAACTAACTTGTTGGGTGTGTTGATGAGGGTGTGTGACATCGTAACTTTCTTGTTGCTCGTGTTGACGAGGGTGCGTGACATCGTAACTTACTTGTTGGGTGTGTTGATGAGGGTGCGCAACATCGTAACTAACTTGTTGGGTGTGTTGACGAGGGTGTGTGACATCGTAACTAACTTGTTGGGTGACTCGATGAGACTCGATAACATAATTCTTTTAATTATCATGTGTATGGAAATCTAAGCACTGAAACAGAGTGAGTGAGTATAGTTTGACGCTACTTTCAGCAATATTCCAGCAATATCACGGCGAGGACACCAGAAATGGGCTTCACACATTGTACCCATGTGTGGAATCGAAACCTGGGTTTTGGCGTGACGAGCGACGCTTTAACCACAAGGCTACCCCACTGCCCCACTGAAACAGGTCAGACAGTGTTTTGTTGTAATAAACCAATAATGTTGACGAAGGCTTGTGACATCGTAACTTATTTGTTGGGTGTGTTGACGAGGGTGTGTGACATCGTAACTTTCTTGTTGGGTGTGTTGACGAGGGTGTGTGACATTGTAACTTATTTGTTGGGTGTGTTGACGAGGGTGTGTGACATCGTAACTAACTTGTTGGGTGTGTTGACGAGGGTGTGTGACATCGTAACTAACTTGTTGGGTGTGTTGACGAGGGTGTGTGACATCGTAACTTACTTGTTGGGTGTGTTGACGAGGGTGTGTGACATCGTAACTTACTTGTTGGGTGTGTTGACGAGGGTGTGTGACATCGTAACTTACTTGTTGGGTGTGTTGACGAGGGTGTGTGACATCGTAACTAACTTGTTGGGTGTGTTGACGAGGGTGTGTGACATCGTAACTTACTTGTTGGGTGTGTTGACGAGGGTGTGTGACATCGTAACTTACTTGTTGGGTGTGTTGACGAGGGTGTGTGACATCGTAACTTACTTGTTGGGTGTGTTGACGAGGGTGTGTGACATCGTAACTTACTTGTTGGGTGTGTTGACGAGGGTGTGTGACATCGTAACTTACTTGTTGGGTGTGTTGACGAGGGTATGTGACATCGTAACTTACTTGTTGGGTGTGTTGACGAGGGTGCGTGACATCGTAACTTTCTTGTTGGGTGTGTTGACGAGGGTGCGTGACAAATCGTAACTTTCTTGTTGGGTGTGTTGACGAGGGTGTGTGACATCGTAACTTACTTGTTGGGTGTGTTGATGAGGGTGTGTGACATCGTCACTTTCTTGTTGGGTGTGTTGACGAGGGTGCGTGACATCGTAACTTTCTTGTTGGGTGTGTTGACGAGGGTGCGTGACATCGTAACTTTCTTGTTGGGTGTGTTGACGAGGGTGTGTGACATCGTAACTAACTTGTTGGGTTTGTTGACGAGGGTGCGTGACATCGTAACTAACTTGTTGGGTGTGTTGACGAGGGTGTGTGACATCGTAACTAACTTGTTGGGTGTGTTGACGAGGGTGTGCGACATCGTAACTTTCTTGTTGGGTGTGTTGATGAGGGTGTGTGACATCGTAACTTTGTTGTTGGCTGTGTTGATGAGGGTGTGTGACATCGTAACTTACTTGTTGTTGGGTGTGTTGACGAGGGTGTGTGACATCGTAACTTTGTTGTTGGGTGTGTTGACGAGGGTGCGTGACATGGTGACTTACTTGTTGTTGGGTGTGTTGACGAGGGTGTGTGACATCGTAACTTTGTTGTTGGCTGTGTTGATGAGGGTGCGTGACATCATGACTTACTTGTTGTTGGGTGTGTTGACGAGGGCGCTAGAGATGTTCTGATCCATAAAGAAGAGAAGAGACAGACTGAAGCCCAGACCTGCTGATGCAAAGATGGCTCCCACGGGGAGATTCTGTATGTGGGCCAACTCAAACATCTGTTCCGCTGGATTGTACTCAAAGGGTTCCACTGAAAAAAACACAATCAGCATTTAAATATAATTACAAAAAAACAGCCACATTTGACTGCAACACGCTGACTATATTTAAACATAGTATACCCCATGTATAAAGTCTTAGACAACAAGATTAAGTCTTGTCAGGTGGAATTAGATTTCAGTCTCAACATATAAACTATTTTTGGCAACATTGTTGAAAGAAAGTTCACTTGACAAGCACCTGACATTCCACATTGTGAATATCAGCAAAGACGTACATACTATGTGTATACTATCTACATACTATCTATATGTGTCTTTGAACCTTGACAGTGGTGGATGTGACAAGATCTAGAGTTTCTAAAGGCTGGATCCACAACAAGCCTTATCTCTGCACCCAGGTGATATAACAATGTGCACACCTATAATGCAAATCAACTCCCCCAGTGCTCATAGCGCTGCATTCCAGTCATCGTATCCCAGTCGCGTGGATCGATGCTCATGATGTAAATCACTGCAATGTCTGGTCCAGACTCAATTTATTTACAGACCGCCTTCATATAGGTGGAATATAGAGCGGCATTAAACAACAAACAAACAAACAAACAAACAAACAAACAAACAAACAAACTTACATCTGACCTCCCAGAAGACATAGGAACCAAAGAAAGACATGAGCAGCACCGAGATGGGCAGAGCGTAGTCTGCTAGGATCTCACGTCGGTTGGCGTTGAGGAAAGGTCTGGAGATGGACAAGGTCGTATACAGAAAATGATAACAATTATGAAACACAAATTGTTAACTCACTTTACAATGGACTAATATATCAAGACATTCTGGGTAAGGAAAAGGTAATTCATGTTTGTGAGCCAGATTTGGATTTTTTAGAAGTAAGATTATTGATATATCAGATACAGCGAAACATGTGTACTTAACGAGAGACGCTGCGCAGATGGTGAACTATAGAGATGGAACAAAGGAGGGATGATGCTTGTGGCCCCCCAGCGCGGGATGAAGTGCCCTGGGCACGGTGCAGGGTGCTGACCCGGGGGTGATTTAGTTACAAGGGGTGATTGAGTTACGTCCGATTGGATACGTACAATATCATTTAGTAGTTAGTACTAAATGCAAATATATTTTCATATCTGTAAACATTCATCATCATTGTAGGGATGATAAATCTTAAAGCAAGGGGTGTGGATTATATGGAATAAATTGCAGTAATGTTTCTCGATTGTACATCACTGGAGAGGACATTACATTTCAGGTTTACTTACGTTTTGGTGAAGTTGAGAAGAGTAAGACCACACCAGACAGTACCAAGCATTAGCAGCAAAAATAAAACACTATTTTCCCTGAGGCAAGCATGCTCCTTGGTGTGCTCATCATTGAGACTGCTGTTGATAGCACTGGTTAAATTACTGACAACAGTTGTCAGGACAGTAGTAGTAGGCGTGGTTATCACAGTTGTCTGGTCAGTAGTATTATACACGTTTGTTGTATCTGGTTGCACTTTACAAGCTTTTGCATGGTAGTTGTTATCAAAATCTAAAAGAAATGGATATATAGAGTGAGTAGTGAGTTAGTTAATATTCACCATTAATACTTTTGAAGTCTTTGATAGGCATTTAGTAGTTGGAAGAACATGAATACATGACACGTTTGTATACATCAAGCATTCACCTGATGAAGGAGCAGGAAGTAGCTCTGAAACGTTATACAAAGAACGAAAGAAGTTCATAAAAAAGTGTCATGTATTCATTAATACGTTTCTTCAGAATATTGACATATTTATAGAGACAAGAATACATGGACAGTTGTTTAGTGAGCAGGAATGCCACCATCTTCCCGAGGCAAGAGAGTTAACTGACTATAAAAGTCCATTTTCCATCCTTGCCGAACTAGGCTGGAATTATGGAGTTATATTTTGGCTTGACTGACAAGTCTATGCATAATCCAATCATCTTCACTCGGCGCCGCCATTTTGTTTAAAGCAAATGCAAGTGATGTGAGAGGTGGAATCTGATTGGTCAATGGGAGGTACATAGAAGGGACATAACTTGTAATAGCCTCTGGTGGCACTACGATTGAACCCAGATATTCCAGCCTAGTTTGGCAAGGGTGAAAACTGGACATTTAGAGTCAGTTAACCTCTTTGCCTCGGGAAGATGAAATGCCGCCCAAGACACATCTGTGAAAGCCAGTTTTGGATGGTAAAAGACTTCTATTGATGATAGACCACTCATTATTATTGGACATGCCTAGTATTCAAACATAAAATCAACAGATTCTTGGAGAAGTGACAGCATTTATGGATAACAGATTCATGTTAATTTGTAAGTTTCGGTAAATGACAGAAGTAAGTGCAGATGTCTGACTCAAATAAGTTGAAAGGCAGATTCATGAGCAAGTCTGTGATCCAAGATGATTTATTTCTTTACCTACATCTAGGGCTGGGACGAGTCCAGATTCACTACCTAGGTACCCAACCCCCATTAACCGACCCTACCCGGGTACCTGCTGTAGGTCTCAAGCGATGGGCACAAAATGTCTGATTGAGAACTGTTTGAACGGAGCTCTGGCAAAAAGTATTTAGATAGACTCCCCTATGCTATAAAACAATCTGGTGACGTATACACTGAAGTTGACTGAAGCTTTATCTTTATTCAAACATATAAAAGTCAGAAGCAATGTGAGCATTGTCAGAAAGAAATTCTAACATTAGTGACTTGAAGTGTAACCATGGAGTTCTAGATAATTTTTGTCATTAAATAATATATTATGTGACTAACCACGGGTCCAGGCAGTCCTGTGGGTACCTGGATCCCACTCAGTACCCATCCCAGTCCAGTGGGTACCTGGATCCCACTCAGTACCCATCCCAGTCCAGTGGGTACCTGGATCCCACTCAGTACCCATCCCAGTCCAGTGGGTACCTGGATCCCACTCAGTACCCATCCCAGTCCAGTGGGTACCTGGATCCCACTCAGAACCCATCCCAGTCCAGTGGGTACCTGGATCCCACTCAGTACCCATCCCAGTCCTACCTACATCCCTCAGAAACTTGGCTTGTGTCACAGACTTGCTAATGCTCAAATATAGAAAATGTCCTCTGAAAACAACTAAAATTTGCCTTTTCAACACTTAACAGCCTTATCTATACAGTTAGTGTTTATCTAAACAATACAAAACAAGCAAGTGTTGAAAAGATTATTTCTCACACTGATTTCGAAAAGCTTTGCTTTTTTCTTGAATTGTGCAGATCTCGAGGGCCAAAAAGGGCCTTTATCCCAGCTTAGTCTATCAGCTAATGTATTATCACCACATGCCGGGAGAAAATGACACATTGTTACAAGTGTTCCTGATTTCAGTGTCAAGAGTCACACGTGTGGTCAGTGCAGTGGTGGTGGTGGGGTAGCCAAGTGTTCGCTCATCACGCCGAATACCTGGGTTCGATACCCATGTGGGTACAATGTGTGAAGCCCATTTCCGGTGTCCCCCGCCGTGATCTTGCTGGAATATTGCTAAAAGCAGCATAAAACCATACTCACTCACTCACTTAACGCAGAGTTGTAGCTGTAGGTTGTGTGGATAGTTTGAATGATAATAATGTCTGTTATTGCTAACTGACACTGACCTTTAATAGTGTCTTTGATGGCGTCTGCTGAGAAGGCAAAAGTGATGAAGACAGAAAATATTTCCTCTGTTGACCTGGAGTTGAAAGGTGGACATAGTGGTTACAGAATGTTTGCTTGATCGTCATTGTGGTTGTTGCTCACGAACAACTTGTCAACATTATTTGTAATTATCAAACCAAGGATGAATACTAAAACAGTTTCTTAGGAAATTGCCATCAGAGGTTTCAAGGTTCTTTTTACAAGAAAATGTGGAACCTGAAAAATGTAAAAATGACGGTTTTGCTCATGCAAGTGTTGTCTGAGGACCAAGAATATGTCCTCATGCAAGTGTTGTCTGAGGACCAAGAATATGTCCTCATGCAAGTGTTGTCTGAGGACCAAGAATATATCCTCATGCAAGTGTTGTCTGAGGACCAAGATTATGTCCTCATGCAAGTGTTGTCTGAGGACCAAGAATATGTCCTCATGCAAGTGTTGTCTGAGGACCAAGATTATGTCCTCATGCAAGTGTTGTCTGAGGACCAAGAATATGTCCTCATGCAAGTGTTGTCTGAGGACCAAGAATATGTCCTCATGCAAGTGTTGTCTGAGGACCAAGAATATGTCCTCATGCAAGTGTTGTCTGAGGACCAAGAATATGTCCTCATGCAAGTGTTGTCAGAGGACCAAGAATATGTCCTCATGCAAGTGTTGTCTGAGGACCAAGAATATGTCCTCATGCAAGTGTTGTCTGAGGACCAAGAATATGTCCTCATGCAAGTGTTGTCTGAGGACCAAGATTATATCCTCATGCAAGTGTTGTCTGAGGACCAAGAATATGTCCTCATGCAAGTGTTGTCTGAGGACCAAGAATATGTCCTCATGCAAGTGTTGTCTGAGGACCAAGAATATGTCCTCATGCAAGTGTTGTCTGAGGACCAAGAATATGTCCTCATGCAAGTGTTGTCTGAGGACCAAGAATATGTCCTCATGCAAGTGTTGTCTGAGGACCAAGAATATGTCCTCATGCAAGTGTTGTCTGAGGACCAAGAATATGTCCTCATGCAAGTGTTGTCTGAGGACCAAGAATATGTCCTCATGCAAGTGTTGTCTGAGGACCAAGATTATGTCCTCATGCAAGTGTTGTCTGAGGACCAAGAATATGTCCTCATGCAAGTGTTGTCTGAGGACCAAGAATATGTCCTCATGCAAGTGTTGTCTGAGGACCAAGAATATGTCCTCATGCAAGTGTTGTCTGAGGACCAAGAATATGTCCTCATGCAAGAGTTGTCTGAGGACCAAGAATATGTCCTCATGCAAGTGTTGTCTGAGGACCAGGAAAATGTCGTACATTAAGTCCAGGAGCTGTGTAGCAGTCTCACGGCATCAATGTCAATGACGTTAACAACATAATAATAAAGTCACTGTTACAGAACAAGTCTACACACTACAAATGTCAAAACAATAATAAAATGGATCAGTGTGCAATCATATTTCATTCTCAACCCTTTAAAGCAAATAAGACATGAGAAAGTGTGCATTCACTGATACCATCTCATCCTTCCGGGTACCCATTTACTGCATGGTAAACACTGCCCTGGTATAAGAAGCTTGACTGTGTGTTCCAAATTTTGCTAAAACATTACTTATCCTGGTTTATGTATAGGATAAAACATGCCTCTGAGGTTTTGGTTGAAAATGTAAAACTGCAAGCGAGGGAGAAGCCAGAAGGACGTAGGCCCGAGGGCTTTTCCCCAGCTCAAGGTTTTACACTTTCAACCAAAACCAAGGAGGCAATTTTTATCCAACTTATGAACCGTCTAAATGCAAGGAATACCAGAAAAATAAGAAAACATCAAGATACCTTAAAGTGAAACAATACAAGGAATTCAATCAAAGAGTGTGAGAGAAAAAACATGTGAAGCATGGACTAACTGGAGTCATGACATGATGAATTGAACAACTTCTCATCACCTGCCCGGTAGCGCAGTGGGAAAACAGTGTGTTACAGAACTTAACATGATATGTGAGGCTGCAGGTTCGATTCACTTCATGGAATTTCATGCACAAAAAATATGTGACTTTTAACCAATCATCAAAACACAATTGCGTTCATATCAAGAGGCAAGTTTATATAACGTTAATTGTAAAACCTAGGTAAACAATTGAAATGTAAAACCTCAAAGCAGGTGTAGAAGTGACCCATTTTAAAACCTAGGTTTGGCAGATGAGCTGGCTAATAGGTTTATCCAAGGTTGTCAGGAACCTGATGCAATATAGGGTGATAGGTTTATCATTTTTGCTTTTGCTGTGAGATGTGATATATACCGGTAGTTGTATAATTCCCTACACTGACCTTGATGACCAGCGCATCATCTTGCTGGTGTTGAAGAATGCATACAAGAGGAGGAAGAAGGCGTTCCAGAGACCAGTCGCAGCAAACATTGCATGGAAGTCCAAGTGGAAGTCCTCACAAATAGTGTAAATAACTGCAAACACACAACAGCTACATTACATGTGTCAAAAGTAAAGGAGAAGGATTACCTTCATAAATAAAATAGTTCTATCTTGTGACCACCAGAGGGGTCAGGTCAGGTCAGGTGATATTGGGTTTAACGTCGCGTCCAAGATTATTGCACTTATATAGCGACGTGCATGCACGTGTGTGTGTGTATGTGGCTGCTTGTACTAGTCCGGACTGATGCCGATTTATAGTGCTAGCTCACTGAGATACCATGCCGCAGTTTAACATGAATACCCCACTCAGACACAGTATACTGACTTCCGAGCTGACCAGTCCTTGTTTTAGTCCCTTTATGCCGAGCGCCAGACCGGGTAACAACAAGTACCATCTTTTAACGTCTTTTGGTATGACGCGGGATCGAACCCGGACCATCCACTCTCCGGGGAGACGCTCTACCGCTAGACCACGGCGGTGGTCCCACCAGAGGGGTAACTCAAAGTGCCACTTTGACTGGACAAGATGGTGATTGACCAATCAGATAGCTAGATTATATAATGAGTACATAAAATGATGTACAACTAATCAGATTTACTCATTTATCCAGCATCATATTTTCAAGTACTACAGACAAGTCACCAGAAATTTTGCAAGATGATTAATGAGCATCCTTTTACATGCTGTACTGAAATCACTTATTTTACTGGAACAGTGAGGCTGAAAATACTGTGCTGCTCCATGAGGCGGGGATGTTTTGTTCAAGAACAGAGCATCTGTTGTCTTACTTTTGATGTAGAGGACGTTTAGTTCAAGAACAGAGCATCTGTTGTCTTACTTTTGGTGTAGAGGGTGTTTTGTTCAAGAACAGAGCATCTGTTGTCTTACTTTTGATGTAGAGGACGTTTAGTTCAAGAACAGAGCATCTGTTGTCTTACTTTTGGTGTAGAGGGTGTTTTGTTCAAGAACAGAGCATCTGTTGTCTTACTTTTGATGTAGAGGACGTTTAGTTCAAGAACAGAGCATCTGTTGTCTTACTTTTGGTGTAGAGGGTGTTTTGTTCAAGAACAGAGCATCTGTTGTCTTACTTTTGATGTAGAGGACGTTTAGTTCAAGAACAGAGCATCTGTTGTCTTACTTTTGGTGTAGAGGGTGTTTTGTTCAAGAACAGAGCATCTGTTGTCTTACTTTTGATGTAGAGGACGTTTAGTTCAAGAACAGGGCGTCTGTTGTCTTACTTTTGGTGTAGAGGGTGTTTTGTTCAAGAACAGAGCGTCTGTTGTCTTACTTTTGATGTAGAGGACGTTTAGTTCAAGAACAGGGCGTCTGTTGTCTTACTTTTGGTGTAGAGGGTGTTTTGTTCAAGAACAGAGCATCTGTTGTCTTACTTTTGATGTAGAGGACGTTTAGTTCAAGAACAGGGCGTCTGTTGTCTTACTTTTGGTGTAGAGGGTGTTTTGTTCAAGAACAGAGCGTCTGTTGTCTTACTTTTGATGTAGAGGACGTTTAGTTCAAGAACAGGGCGTCTGTTGTCTTACTTTTGGTGTAGAGGGTGTTTTGTTCAAGAACAGAGCGTCTGTTGTCTTACTTTTGATGTAAAGGGTGTTTAGTTCAAGAACAGGGCGTCTGTTGTCTTACTTTTGGTGTAAAGGGTGTTTTGTTCAAGAACAGAGCGTCTGTTGTCTTACTTTTGGTGTAGAGGATGTTTTGTTCAAGAACAGAGCATCTGTTGTCTTACTTTTGGTGTAGAGGGTGTTTTGTTCAAGAACAGAGCTGCTGTTGTCTTACTTTTGGTGTAGAGGGTGTTTTGTTCAAGAACAGAGCGTCTGTTGTCTTACTTTTGATGTAGAGGACGTTTAGTTCAAGAACAGGGCGTCTGTTGTCTTACTTTTGGTGTAGAGGGTGTTTTGTTCAAGAACAGAGCATCTGTTGTCTTACTTTTGGTGTAGAGGGTGTTTTGTTCAAGTACAGAGCGTCTGTTGTCTTACTTTTGGTGTAGAGGGTGTTTTGTTCAAGTACAGAGCGTCTGTTGTCTTACTTTTGGTGTAGAGGGTGTTTTGTTCAAGAACAGAGCGTCTGTTGTCTTACTTTTGGTGTAGAGGGTGTTTTGTTCAAGAACAGAGCGTCTGTTGTCTTACTTTTGGTGTAGAGGGCGTTTTGTTCAAGTACAGAGCATCTGTTGTCTTACTTTTGGTGTAGAGGACGTTTTGTTCAAGTACAGAGCAGCTGTTGTCTTACTTTTGGTGTAGAGGGTGTTTTGTTCAAGAACAGAGCATCTGTTGTCTTACTTTTGGTGTAGAGGGTGTTTTGTTCAAGTACAGAGCGTCTGTTGTCTTACTTTTGGTGTAGAGGGCGAGGGGCGCTGTGGTCAGGAGGACAATGAGAGGCTGTCCTCCGAGTACTGCAAACACCACACCACCAAAACACTGGGAAAACAGGATCTTCTTGACCCCTGCAAACAAAACATTAAAGGTCTACAGGGAATTCCTACTTGAATCTCTGTCACATGTCTCACAAACAAAACCTCAAATACTTCATGGTATTCAGACCTATAACAGTGAGTGTGTTGTCAGTCTGTAGCAACTAAGCCAGCCCTGCAAGTGATGCATGACCAACACACCTAGTGGACTGATGACAAGTGGTGCATGACCAACACACCTGGTGGACTATTGACAAGTCTTGCATTGCCAACACCCCTAGTGGACTATTGACAAGTCTTGCATGACCAACACCCCTAGTGGACTATTGACAAGTGGTGCATGGCCAACACCCCTAGTGGACTATTGACAAGTGGTGCATGACCAACACACCTGGTGGACTGATGACAAGTGGTGCATGACCAACACACCTGGTGGACTATTGACAAGTGATGCATGACCAACACACCTGGTGGACTATTGACAAGTGGTGCATGACCAACACACCTGGTGGACTATTGACAAGTGATGCATGACCAACACACCTAGTGGACTATTGACAAGTGATGCATGACCAACACACCTAGTGGACTATTGACAAGTGGTGCATGACCAACACACCTAGTGGACTGATGACAAGTGGTGCATGACCAACACACCTAGTGGACTATTGACAAGTCTTGCATTGCCAACACCCCTAGTGGACTATTGACAAGTGGTGCATGACCAACACCCCTAGTGGACTATTGACAAGTCTTGCATGACCAACACCCCTAGTGGACTATTGACAAGTGGTGCATGGCCAACACCCCTAGTGGACTATTGACAAGTGGTGCATGACCAACACACCTGGTGGACTATTGACAAGTGGTGCATGACCAACACCCCTAGTGGACTATTGACAAGTGATGCATGACCAACACACCTGGTGGACTATTGACAAGTGATGCATGACCAACACACCTGGTGGACTATTGACAAGTGATGCATGACCAACACACCTAGTGGACTATTGACAAGTGATGCATGACCAACACACCTAGTGGACTATTGACAAGTGGTGCATGACCAACACACCTAGTTGACTATTGACAAGTGATGCATGACCAACACCCCTAGTGGACTATTGACAAGTGGTGTGTGACCAACACACCTGGTGGACTATTGACAAGTGATGCATGACCAACACCCCTAGTGGACTATTGACAAGTGATGCATGACCAACACCCCTAGTGGACTATTGACAAGTGGTGCATGACCAACACCCCTAGTGGACTATTGACAAGTCTTGCATGACCAACACACCTGGTGGACTGATGACAAATGGTGCATGACCAACACACCTGGTGGACTGATGACAAATGGTGCATGACCAACACACCTGGTGGACTGATGACAAGTGGTGGACTGATGACAAGTGGTGTATGACCAACACACCTGGTGGACTGATGACAAGTGGTGGACTGATGACAAGTGGTGCATGACCAACACACCTGGTGGACTGATGACAAGTGGTGCATGGCCTACTCACCTATAGCACCATCTGTGTTGTCGCTGTTGAGCATGCCGAAGGCGATGTTGGGCAGCACGCAGGCGAAGTAGAGGAACAAAGTTGTGGACACCACTTTGTGGGGGGTCTTGTGACCGATGACGCCTATCATGCAATCAGAAAACAGGCTTTGTTTTCAAATATCACAAAACATTTCTATTAAATAAGATAATTTGTGTGATAACCTGAAGGTAATGAAATACATACAAACTTCAGGAACATAATATTTACTCTGACAGGTTATGTGAAATGTTACAGTTACGGCTCAGACAGCTCTGTTAGGATAAGAATGTACTTTCATGTGATAAGCGTGACAGTATGACAGAGTTGTCTCACCATCTTTGTAGTCAGACCAGTAATGAGGCAGCCTCCTTTTGAGATCACCCAGAAGTCCCTGCCCAATGGGACACCGAGCTTTGGTCTGAAACACAAATTAATGAACACCCTAAAGTCAATTCTGTTTAAAATGATATCACTTAATGAGCATCATAATTTATTGCACTACCTGTAGATTGTGTTTGAAAAAGTTGTATCATTTGATCAGCTATATTTACACTGGCAAACAAGAACTTTGTGTCCTGGTTCTATTTATCTTCACATTTTTTGTCGGTAGATTGAAAACGATTAATTAAGATCCCCAACAACATTTGTTTTGACGCATACCGTTTGTTGACAGTCTGTTTATTTGGCGTGTCCATGTGAGGCTTTCTTGTTTATGTACAGGCCTTCGCGTGTATCATTTGTTTTATAGAGTTTTCAGCCTGCTAGGTTCCACCTGGGGTAGGGCTTTGTGTATAAAGTTTTCCAGGTCAAGTTTCAACCCATAATGCATGTTTCTATGTTCTCATCTCGGGCTGACGAGACCTAATATTCTTTTCCCATCAACCCTAGCGGCATGGTTTAAATTCCTGCCTTTCGGTGTCATTGGCTAGCTGAATGCTACTTCAACACGTTTGTTTTTGTTCCCCGCCCACCCGCTGCCTTTCTGTTCAGTATATTCTAGCTGTCCTGGTGGGTTGTAGGCTCGGTACAAGTTACAGTCTACTAGCAACTTAATATTTTCTCTTTAAGTTTAAATTTTATAACTGAGCTAATTTGTATTTAAGTCATTCAAGCATACACTTTCTTATTGTGTTACTTTTGTGCTGTACTTTGTACCCGGTCTGCTTCTTTTACCTACTTCAGCCAAATAAATCTAGTCACTTAGGTCCTGTTGGGGTTCTTAATTACATGATGGAGGCTAGAATAATATCTGAAATAAACAGTTGCTAAATTATCTTAATAAAAATATAATAAAAAGGAGCTCAGTCAGAAAGAGTTAAAATTTAACGTCATATCGGCAGTATTTCATCCATATCATGACAGCTTTTATGATAAGCACTAGGTACTGGGGACTTGGGGCCCCATTTATCTATTAACACTGACCACACAAAAGTAAAAAAAACAGCAATGTGAATTTTCAGTCATCAAAACTATTAAGTACGATCATAAGGTTGTGAACATAAAATCATAATCTTTGATCCACTATATCCACAATCAATATGTAGTGTGTTGACTGACACATGTATTACCTCCCCGTCCACATCAAACACCGACACAATCAATATGTAGTGTGTTGACTGACACATGTATTACCTCCCCGTCCACATCGAACACCGACACAATCAATATGTAGTGTGTTGACTGACATATGTATTACCTCCCCGTCCACATCGAACACCGACACAATCAATATGAAGTGTGTTGACTGACACATGTATTACCTCCCCGTCCACACCGACACAATCAATATGAAGTGTGTTGACTGACACATGTATTACCTCCCCGTCCACATCGAACACCGACACAATCAATATGAAGTGTGTTGACTGACACATGTATTACCTCCCCGTCCACACCGACACAATCAATATGAAGTGTGTTGACTGACACATGTATTACCTCCCCGTCCACATCGAACACCGACACAATCAATATGAAGTGTGTTGACTGACACATGTATTACCTCCCCGTCCACATCGAACACCGACACAATCAATATGAAGTGTGTTGACTGACACATGTATTACCTCCCCGTCCACATCGAACACCGACACAATCAATATGAAGTGTGTTGACTGACACATGTATTACCTCCCCGTCCACATCGAACACAGACACAATCAATATGAAGTGTGTTGACTGACACATGTATTACCTCCCCGTCCACATCGAACACAGACACAATCAATATGAAGTGTGTTGACTGACACATGTATTACCTCCCCGTCCACACCGACACAATCAATATGAAGTGTGTTGACTGACACATGTATTACCTCCCCGTCCACATCGAACACCGACACAATCAATATGAAGTGTGTTGACTGACACATGTATTACCTCCCCGTCCACACCGACACAATCAATATGAAGTGTGTTGACTGACACATGTATTACCTCCCCGTCCACATCGAACACCGACACAATCAATATGAAGTGTGTTGACTGACACATGTATTACCTCCCCGTCCACATCGAACACCGACACAATCAATATGAAGTGTGTTGACTGACACATGTATTACCTCCCCGTCCACATCGAACACAGACACAATCAATATGAAGTGTGTTGACTGACACATGTATTACCTCCCCGTCCACATCGAACACAGACACAATCAATATGAAGTGTGTTGACTGACACATGTATTACCTCCCCGTCCACACCGACACAATCAATATGAAGTGTGTTGACTGACACATGTATTACCTCCCCGTCCACATCGAACACCGACACAATCAATATGAAGTGTGTTGACTGACACATGTATTACCTCCCCGTCCACATCGAACACCGACACAATCAATATGTAGTGTGTTGACTGACACATGTATTACCTCCCCGTCCACATCGAACACCGACACAATCAATATGAAGTGTGTTGACTGACACATGTATTACCTCCCCGTCCACATCGAACACCGACACAATCAATATGAAATGTGTTGACTGACACATGTATTACCTCCCCGTCCACATCGAACACCGACACAATCAATATGAAATGTGTTGACTGACACATGTATTACCTCCCCGTCCACACCGACACAATCAATATGAAGTGTGTTGACTGACACATGTATTACCTCCCCGTCCACATCGAACACCGACACAATCAATATGAAGTGTGTTGACTGACACATGTATTACCTCCCCGTCCACATCGAACACCGACACAATCAATATGTAGTGTGTTGACTGACACATGTATTACCTCCCCGTCCACATCGAACACCGACACAATCAATATGAAGTGTGTTGACTGACACATGTATTACCTCCCCGTCCACATCGAACACCGACACAATCAATATGAAATGTGTTGACTGACACATGTATTACCTCCCCGTCCACATCGAACACCGACACAATCAATATGAAATGTGTTGACTGACACATGTATTACCTCCCCGTCCACACCGACACAATCAATATGAAGTGTGTTGACTGACACATGTATTACCTCCCCGTCCACATCGAACACCGACACAATCAATATGAAGTGTGTTGACTGACACATGTATTACCTCCCCGTCCACACCGACACAATCAATATGAAGTGTGTTGACTGACATATGTATTACCTCCCCGTCCACACCGACACAATCAATATGAAGTGTGTTGACTGACACATGTATTACCTCCCCGTCCACACCGACACAATCAATATGAAGTGTGTTGACTGACACATGTATTACCTCCCCGTCCACATCGAACACCGACACAATCAATATGTAGTGTGTTGACTGACACATGTATTACCTCCCCGTCCACATCGAACACCGACACAATCAATATGTAGTGTGTTGACTGACACATGTATTACCTCCCCGTCCACATCGAACACCGACACAATCAATATGTAGTGTGTTGACTGACACATGTATTACCTCCCCGTCCACATCGAACACAGACACAATCAATATGAAATGTGTTGACTGACACATGTATTACCTCCCCGTCCACATCGAACACCGACACAATCAATATGTAGTGTGTTGACTGACACATGTATTACCTCCCCGTCCACACCGACACAATCAATATGAAGTGTGTTGACTGACACATGTATTACCTCCCCGTCCACATCGAACACCGACACAATCAATATGAAGTGTGTTGACTGACACATGTATTACCTCCCCGTCCACATCGAACACCGACACAATCAATATGTAGTGTGTTGACTGACACATGTATTACCTCCCCGTCCACATCGAACACCGACACAATCAATATGTAGTGTGTTGACTGACACATGTATTACCTCCCCGTCCACATCGAACACCGACACAATCAATATGTAGTGTGTTGACTGACACATGTATTACCTCCCCGTCCACATCGAACACCGACACAATCAATATGTAGTGTGTTGACTGACACATGTATTACCTCCCCGTCCACATCGAACACCGACACAATCAATATGAAGTGTGTTGACTGACACATGTATTACCTCCCCGTCCACATCGAACACCGACACAATCAATATGAAATGTGTTGACTGACACATGTATTACCTCCCCGTCCACATCGAACACCGACACAATCAATATGAAATGTGTTGACTGACACATGTATTACCTCCCCGTCCACACCGACACAATCAATATGAAGTGTGTTGACTGACACATGTATTACCTCCCCGTCCACATCGAACACCGACACAATCAATATGAAGTGTGTTGACTGACACATGTATTACCTCCCCGTCCACATCAAACACCGACACAATCAATATGTAGTGTGTTGACTGACACATGTATTACCTCCCCGTCCACATCGAACACCGACACAATCAATATGAAGTGTGTTGACTGACACATGTATTACCTCCCCGTCCACATCGAACACCGACACAATCAATATGAAATGTGTTGACTGACACATGTATTACCTCCCCGTCCACATCGAACACCGACACAATCAATATGAAATGTGTTGACTGACACATGTATTACCTCCCCGTCCACACCGACACAATCAATATGAAGTGTGTTGACTGACACATGTATTACCTCCCCGTCCACATCGAACACCGACACAATCAATATGAAGTGTGTTGACTGACACATGTATTACCTCCCCGTCCACACCGACACAATCAATATGAAGTGTGTTGACTGACATATGTATTACCTCCCCGTCCACACCGACACAATCAATATGAAGTGTGTTGACTGACACATGTATTACCTCCCCGTCCACACCGACACAATCAATATGAAGTGTGTTGACTGACACATGTATTACCTCCCCGTCCACATCGAACACCGACACAATCAATATGTAGTGTGTTGACTGACACATGTATTACCTCCCCGTCCACATCGAACACCGACACAATCAATATGTAGTGTGTTGACTGACACATG